TGACAGCCCTTATTTAGTGGCATGTACCTCTCGTGTCTTTTCCCTTTTAGTCTCATACCACTCAGTGCCTGCTATCATGTAAATACAACACATCTGTCTCATTTGCTATGTTAATATGCAAATAGATATACTTTATTTCTCCCTTTATACTTTAACTTATGTCTATTTTTATTTCTATTATTTATTTTCTGCATAGTAAATGTAAGTTCATTTGAAATTATATGTCTTTCTACTGAAACACTGCAGTTTCCCTTCGGAATCAATAAAGTTCTATCTATCTATCTGTCTTAGTTGAAGAAGAGGGCGCCACCCCAGTGAAGCGTCGCCGCGTGAGCAGCGATGACGATCGGCCAGGAGAGGGCAGCAGCGCTTTAGGGGGCGGAGTCTGTCCCGCCTCCACTTCCTCCTCATTGGTGGCCTGCTCGGAGCAGAAGGCGGAGCCTGTGGAGGCTTTAACGCCCAACAGCACATCTGACACGGAAACGCGGGACTCTTCGCTGATCGATCCTGGAACAGAGCAGGATCCGCCCTCTCCGGACAGCGGCTCGCCGAAAGAGGAGAAAATGGAGGCTTCGTCTTCATCTTCATCGTCCTCATCCTCATCTTCTTTGCCTGAAGTTTTTGGCCGCTCTGATGACGCCTCACTGCAGCAGCCTGCTCCAGGGCCTTCGGTGGGCGGAGACGAAGAGGAAGGAGGTGAAGGAGAGGAGGAAGAGCGGAAAGAAGCGAGGGAGAAGAAGGAGGAGGAGTGCGAAAGAGAAAGCGGTTCTAAGACTTGCTCTTCCTCCTCCTCTTCCTCCGCAGACGATCCTGCTGCAGCACTACTGCTCTCCAGTCTGCAGGACGCAGGAGAGGGGCGGAGCTGCAGCCTGCAGGAGGCGGAGTCAGGCATGTGTGGCCATGCCCCCTCACAGGGAGCCGTGAATTCTGGGACGCAGCAGCAGCCGGACATTCTGGACATGCTGTACCGCACCGTCGAGGCCGCCGTTGCTGTGGTTACTAAGCTCTCCGCCGCCGGTGGTAAAGGAGGGTCACGGGCCTCATGACATCACTTTGTTGTGTTTTTCTTTCTTTTATTTCTTCTCTCTTCTTTTCATTTTCATTTTCCGCTTTGTCTTGATTTTGTCCTTTTCCTTTATTCCCACCTTTTCTGTCTGTTGCAGTGGTGTCCGGCTTCGTCCAGTTTGGTGATTTCCCAGTCCAAATCCCCTTTGATTCGACACTTGTTTTGGTAAAGGATGGCATATCCTTACGTGCCAGTGTTGCTAGCATTGAAAAGCTAGTAGCCACCAGTCAGCATGGTCATTTTCATAATGCTAATTGACCTGTTGATGCCCCGCCCACAAATGCATTCTTTCAAACTTTACCAGAATTTAAACTAATGAGTTTAGGTTGGTATGGAAGTCCGGAGAGGCCGTGAGCTAGTTAGCATTTTCTGGATTGTTATCTTGAGATAACGAGTTAGTCTTAAGATCGCAACATAACAAAATTGTTTTCTTGAGATAAATTAATTATCTTGTGATCTCAAGGTAACAACTGTGTTATCTTGAGATAACCAGTTAATTATCTTGTGATCTCAAAGTAACAAAGTTGTTATCTTGAGATAACGAGTTAATGTTATAATCTCAAGATAATAAAGTTGTCCAGAAAATTACAACAGCAGCTCATGGCCTCTCCGGACTTCCGTAGGCAGGAGCTTGAAGTTGCTATACAACATAACAAAGTTGTTATCTTGAAATCTCAAGATAATTAACTCGTTATCTCAAGAAAACAGTCCAGAAAATTATAAGAGCTCGTGGCCTCTCCAGACTTCCGTAGGCAGGAGCTTGAAGTCGCTATATAACACTGAGTTTCCAGTTTAAATTGCTTCGCTGTGGAGCTGGACTGTGTTGAAGCGAATTAAACTAGGTAGAATTTACCATCATTACTTAATTAACATTGCACTCTGAATTTCCACGTTTTAACCATGTGCTGCAGTTTCTCGTTAGGCCGAGTGGGATTTTCATCAGTCGTCTGTAAAGCTTGTCCAACCTAGCAACACTCGCGACAAACTCAGTAGGAATGCATTTATAGGAGCGTTTATTTATATTTATGCGTTTATTTATATTGGAGCATATATAGATCAGCTGGTGGTTCACTTTCATTCACTGTTTGCAACATTAGCCTCGTTCCCTTAAGCAGGGCGGTCACCAAACTGTACTGTAGACCTTTTTGGCTGCCGCTGGTATGTTTTTGCTTTCCGTCTGTTCATCAGTCTGTCTGGTTTCTTCTCTGGTCAAGGCTTGACGTTCATGGTTTTCGTGCAGTGTTACAGTTGCTAAGGAACTATGGAACCTGAACTTGAGCAGTTACCGTAGTAACACCTACAGTCAGCTGCTGCAACATTCTAGCTGAAAAAAAAAAATCAATCAAGAAATAAAAAGAAGAAAACTATAAGAAGAAGCTATAGCACATTTATCAAAGGGCAAAAAAAGTTTTTTTTCCTTTAGATTTTTTTCTTTCTTCCTATTTTTTTTTTTGAAGTGGTTTATTTGTTTAGAGGTTGCTGTTCTGAGACGGGGAAAGGTTTACAGAGTTTTAGTCCCTTTTGTTCCTAATTTAATTTGCATTTTTAATCACTATGTATTGTCTTCTGTGCCAGTTTTGTACTTATCGCAGTGAGGCGAAACGTTGCCTTGCTGATTTGTTTTTTTTTTTCTTCTGTGGTTGATATCAAAGCTACGTTTACTTGTACATTGAACAGAAAAAAAAGAACCACGACAAACTTGATTCTGTAAAGAATCTTCTAGTTGTTGCCTGGCATTGTAAATGAGAAGATTAAAAAAAAAAAGTATATATGTAAGATATATGTATACAGTATATATCCAATGGTAAGTGTCGTATATACTGTATATATATAAATCTACTGTGTATATACATATGCTGTATATGTATATAGACTTAATGGTGCTTTATCAGACACAAAAAACTATGTGTTGCTTGAATAAAGCACACCTGATGTAACTGTTGGAGCTATATTTTATTTACCAAGATACATTCCATAATCTATCTAATGTCATCCTTGCATTTTTCTGTTTTCTTGTTATGTTTTTCAGTTTTTCCTCTTGATTTATTTTAATATAGGATAACTTAATAAAATTTTAATATGATTTAATTATGAACCAAGTCAAATGGCAGACTGAGATTTCTTTGATTTCTCGCATAAAACTCACAGAAAATATTTCCTTAATAATTATATACATTTATTACACAAACCCATATAATCAGTTACTCAATTCTGTAGTTTTAGCTCTGACACTCCACGTCTTACAGAAACCTGGGTACATCTATCCAGGTTGTGAACTGTAGATTTAGGTATGTTAATACAAGCAAACTATATTTGATTATTTGTCATTTTTTACAGAATAGAAAACAGTATTAACAATGTAAAGACTGCATTGTAGAAAAAAGGCAGACAAGTGTGTGAATATAAAAAGAAGGAAATCCCCAAAATGAGGGATCTGTGAAGCTGACACTGAAATTGTTCATCTCAAATTTAATGTTTAAATAACATACAGCTGCTCAAACCCTGCCATTGTCCCGCCGTTTAGAAACAAACTGTATAATCAGAGCTTTTTAGAACTTAAAGTTCTTTATTAACTTTGCCGGTTTTCATCCAAAGTTGTAAACTCCTCATTAACCTTCTAGTCTTCTAGTGTCCTTAGGGTTTTAAGAAATTACAGTAACAGGGTTGACTCACTTTTTTTGGACATGTTTGTGCCTTTAACAAAAGCAATGGCTTCGCTTTATCCAACGCTAAAAATCAAGAAAATTGGTAAAAAAAAAAAACCAAAAAAAATCCATCACTGTGGTTTGAACAAGGGGTGGGAAATATGGCAAAAACAGAAACACCACAATACCTGAAGTTTGTACACTGTTCTAGAGCAGGGGTGTCAAACTCAACCACTAAAAGGGTCATATTAAAAAAATCTCAGCAAATCTGTGGGCCAGCTGTGTTTTTACTTCATTTTTACTTAACATTCTGCCACGACCTGACCGGCCATTGGTTATTCAAAATACACCAAAACTACAACAGCAAAATGGACACTGAATACTTATTCAAAAATAATTTGTAATTGTTTTAATCATTTAAATTGTTTTAGATAGATTTTTATAAAAACTGCTTATTTTCTTGAACTAGAAACCAGACATTTTTTCTTTTTGTGTAACCGCTGAGTTTTGTTGGGGACGGGGGTCAGAATACACACTATGTTGCAGTGCATGCTGGGGACTGTAGTGTAGCTCAGTTTGAAACGAGCTAACAATAATAATAATAATAATAATAATGAAAGAAAAGTGAAATAATTTTGCGGGCTGAACAGGGTTATGCCACGGGCCTTGCGTTTGACACGTGGGTTCTAGAGTAAAGCAGGGTTCTAAAAGTACTGATGATACCAGAGAGGATTTATGAAGCAACAGCTGGAATGTAAAAATATGTCCGGGAACACGGTCATGCAGTTTTGTCCAGAGGGAGGCAGACAACATGCTTAATTCTCTCCAGCAGGAGACTCTGCATATTTCACTAAACATAAGCGATTATTTTTAGCATTACAGCAAACTTGTGGCCATTTATGAGATTGTTGGGGTCTTGTGAGTATTTTGGGCCTAAAGGCGGATTTTAAATAAAATGAGTTTTGTTCAGGGTTTGCTCAGCCAGCTGCTGGGTCTCTCTGCACAGGCTGCCATTGTTGCCCCGCAGGGTGGGGGAAGCTGTACCTTTAATTTTGTTTGTTTGTCTTTTTGACTTGGATAGGCTGCTCCATCATGATTTATGGTGATGCCCATGTAGGCCTACTCTGCTTTGTTCTAGAACACTTAACAACTGTCCTGCATCATTAAAAATGAAGCTGTGTTCTGGAAGTACTAATAGTATCTAAGAGGAGCACATTGTGATGTTATTTTTACAGTAATGGTCAGATATCGTCATGTTTCCCACTCCTGACTTCAATGCAGTGATTTTCAATAGGTGTTTTTCAAAAAGCTGCCACTGCAGTGATTCCTTTCTCCGATACTTCTGATGTTTTCCTGCTGCCTTTGTAACTTCCCTGATCCTTGGAAGAAAAAAACAGAAAAGAAAAATGTCAGTCTAGTGAGAGTTCAAGCAACACTGAGATATTTAAACAGGTAAAACAACCACAGGTGCGCCAGAACAGGAGAGCACCAGCAAACCCTACTTTTACTAGGGAGGTTAGCATGTTTAATTTTACATGATGCAAATATTTACTTGGTCTAAAGTCATTGTCAAAAATCTAAGGAAAACGGGAGCCGCCCCGCCCGCTCAGCTGGCCATGAACACGCATTTCCTAATTCACTATCAACTTTCTTGTTTCTGTGCTGGTGTAATGGTGTTATTCTTTTTTTGTCTGTAGGTCATTAACTGGTTGAAAGGTCTCCTCTTACCTCCTGTGTCTCTGTAAACACCACTTCATTAGTGAAGCTGTAGAGGAGAGAAAAGAAGGATAAAGATGTTAAAATATGCATTCACTATATGGAGAAAAGTATTGGGACACACCTCTTAGTCATCGACTTCAGGTGTTTCATTCAGTCCCATTGCCACAGGTGTATAAAATCAAGCACCTAGCCATGCAGTGCCTTTACAAAGAATGGGTCGTTCTAAAGAGCTCACTGAATTCGAGCGTGGTGCTGTAATAGGACGCCACTGTTTCAGTAAGTCAGTTCACAAAATGTCTTTCCTCCTAGATATTCCACAGTCAACTGTGAGTGGTATTATTGAAAAGTGGGAGCCTTTAGGAACCACAGCAATTCAGCCACGAAGTGTCAGACCACATAAAGTTACAGAGCGCATCACTGAGTGCTGAGGCGCATAGTGCATAAAAGTCTCCAACGCTCTGCTGACCAATAACTGCAGACTTCCAAACCTCCTCTGGCAAAAACATCAGCACAAAAACTACGCCAGGAGCTTCAGGGCATGGGTTTCCATGGCAGAGCAGCTGTATGCAGGTCTTACATCACCAAGCACAATGTCAAGCATCAGATGTAGTGGTGTAAAGCTCACAGCCACTGGACTCTGGAGCAGTGGAAATGTGTTCTGTGGAGTGATGATCACACTCCTCTATCTGACTGTCTGGTGGACGAGTCTGGGTTTGGTGAATGCCAGGAGAACGTTACCTGCCTGACTGCATTGTACCAGCTGTAGTTTGGTGGAGGAGGGATAATGATATGGGGTTGTTTTCAGGAATTGGTCTAGACCCCTTAGTTCCAGTGAAGGGAAATCATAATCCTTCAGCAGACCAAGACATTTTGGACTATTGTTTGCTTTTAACTTTGTGTGAACAGTTTGGGGAAGAACCTTTTCTGTTCCAGCGTGACTGAGCCCCAGTGCACAAAGCAAGCTCCATAAAGTCATGGCTGGGTGAGTTTGGTGTGGAAGAACCTGACTGGCCCTCACAGAGTCCCTGACATCGAACACCTTTGGGATGAACTAGAACGGAGACTGTGAGCCAGGCCCTCTCGTCCAACATCAGTGTCTGACCTCACAAATGCTCTTCTGGATGAATGGGCTAAATTTCCCACAGACACAGTCCAGAGTCTTGTAGAAAGCTTCCCAGAAGAGTGGAAGCTGTTACAGCTGCAAAGAGGGGGACCAACTCCATATTAATGCCTATGGATTTAGAATGGGATGTCATAAAAGCTCCTGTAGGTGTCCCAATATACACTTTTGTCCATATAGTGTGTCTACACTAGGGCATATTTGATACCAACCCTGAAATCACTCTGGAAAAAAAAATAAATTTGCAGTGAATCTGGTTTGAACTCCAGAAAGAGAGCTGTAGAGCACACTAGGCTTTTTGCAGCACTTACACTTCACTCATGTGTCGCTTTCCTATGTTAAAGCTCTCTTTATCCGAACCTTCCGTGTCCTTCATCTTCTTGAACCTGAGTAAACATAAAACACAGTGAGTTTAAATTACACGTGACCTATGCATGCCGTGTTCTTTTGCAGCAACTTTTGCTGGGTTGAACGAGCTCACATTTTAAATACAATATTAATTTCAAATTTGTGTTATGCTCAAAAAAAGTCACACTTTTCTCTGTAATGTAATATAGCCAATGTTAGCATTGTGGCGAATTCCTTGCCATCTCCAAAATGGTGACTTTACAACAGAAGGAAAATTATTCATAACTTTCAGAGGCTGAATTTAAGCAGTTTTGTACCATCTTTATAAAATTTCACCTCTTTTACAGGGAAGCTGGTGTTGTCACACAATGGAGATATAAGGTTTTGTTGATATAGAACCACGAACACTTAAAGAACAACAAGAATGCGTATATGGTTCTTTGCATGGTCGAAATGGTTCTTCGGTAGCACTTTATTTCAGTAGTCCACTTTAGATGATCTGTAGGTACATAATTTACTTTCAAGATACATTCAACTAAACATCTACTATATTGACCATAATTTTCTCTAAACTCTAAACCTGGCTCTAATCCTAACCCTAACCTCAACCCTAAACCTAAACCCAACCCTCACCCTGGTCCAAGTCTTGACCCTAACCCCACCACTGTTGAGTTTCAACAGATAATTTGTGAGCAATTTGTACATCTGTAGTTAATCTATAGGGGACTATAGTGGATTATCCAAATAAAGTGAGACCAGTTCTTCTCTATGATGTATATGGTTTTTATAATGATTCTGTGTAGCATCAATCAATACGTTTCCAATGTGGTCCTCAGGGACCGCAGGTGTTCCACATTTTTGCTCCAATCCAAAATTCTGGACTGTCTGGGGGTCCGCGAGGACTATTTTGCGGAGCACTGCTGTATAAAAACTCTTTCAACAGCCCAGTCAAGCTCAGTATAACAGCATTTAAACTGGATAATCAACTTCATGTAGCGAATCTGAACAGGCTGATACAGTTTCTCAGTATACTGAATGGCATTTGTGTCAATGTTCTGTAAAGCTTGTCCTACTTAGCAACAGTTGCTACACAAGAATGCGTTTGACAGAAAGCATGAATGATGGGTCATTCACATGCAAATCATTTACAGCTCATGAAAAGCAACAGTTTCCTCAGACTTTGTCATCGAGCACTTACTTGATCACGCTCACCACCACTAGGACAATAAGCCCCACGATGCTTAGCGCTAAGAGAACGGCGAGTGCAACAACCACAGCTTCGTTAGACTCTTGTGAACTTCCAGAACCTCCTTCCAGCTCCTGTTCTACCTCCAGCCCAGGACCAAACACGTTCTCCAGCTCCACTTTCACACTCTCCTGTTCACTCCTCAGCTTCCTGTAGGAGTTAGAACATTCGGCCATGTTCGTTTTAGAAGTAACTAAAGGTGCTAAGCTAGTTTTACATGACTGTAATCCAGTATCTTAAAGCAACAGTCTGTTAATCACATTTGTTCAATTTCCCACAAACCAATTTCAGCCAAGACGTTTGCTTTTTCAGTTTCTGCACTGACTACAAGGCTTACATAGCTAACAGGTAATAGACACCAATTAGCACTGAGCTAAGTGCAGGCCTAAAAATGTGTTAAGTAAACTTAAATAGACTCACTTATATGGTTTCTGACACTGAAACCATACAAGTTTGAAATACTGTTAGCTATAAACATGGACACAAGTATGTTAGCATAGCTAAGCAGCCTGAATTTTGTCTGTACATTTTTACACTTTGGACACCAAGCATGTCTTTGCTGCTCAACTACATGAAACATTCCTTGAGTCTTTGGTACAGCAGCAGCCTGCTTTAGGGTCAACTTACTCATTGACCTCCTTGGCACTTATGATGGTGCCGTCTTCGTCTGTTGCGATAAAACTGACGTAGGTCTTGGTGGTGGTTTCCCTCAGGAGTGAACGCATCTCGTTTCCGCTCTCCACCCTCATGCTTAAAACGTTCACGCTCCAGCCGAGCACTTTCTCCAGAGAACTGTGGGAGACGGGGAAAAAATAAAAATTCCAATGATCCATCCAGCTTGCAACTTTCTAGCCTCAGTTTTTGATACTTGATTCAGGAGATTATTTCTGAGTGGAAGGTGTTTGAGGAAAAAAGAAAGGACTGTCATTCATCTTCTAATTTATTTGAATTGGTGCTAATTTCATAGAACTGTCAAGTCAGAATGTTAACAGGACCTCTTTAATTGCCAAAGAAAAAAAAATAACACTTTAAGTGGTCCTTTGTAGATGATTAATAAACTCTTAACAGAGTATCAGTAACACATCAACAACATACTAGTGAAGTAGCAGTAATGCAGCATCTGGATACCCCGAAGTGAATATCTTGTAGATGTTCTGTTGATACATCACTTACATTAAGTAGATGTTTATTAATATGTTACTTCCATTACGCAAAACCTAACCTTACCCAACACCTAACCCTAACCCTGGCCCTAATCCTAACCCTAGCCTCAACCCAAAACCTAATCCTAACTCTGGCCCTAATCCTGACCCTAACCTTAAACCTCAACCTACAACCTAACTCTAACCCTGGCCCTATTCCTAACCCTCTTTTTTCCACTTTTCTCTCCAATTTCATGGTATTCACTTCCACCCACTAGTTAGGACTCCCCTAATCACACAATGCTACCTGCGCTAGGAGGGCTCTTGGAGGAGAATACTAACCACCAGTTCTGTTATGTCCGCTAACAGATGCCTACACTGGCTAGCATCGTGCTAAGTGATAAAGAGAGTAAGGTTCATCCTACCCACCCAGAGAGAGCGAGGCCAGTTGAGAAAAGTTAAGAAAGTTTGACTCAATAAGCTTAGCTATACTGGCCTCTTCAACCAAAGCACCTGTAATCTGTCGCTTTCCAAAACAGCTTGCGGTGTATTTTACTCACTTCTGAGTTTCCCGAATTTTCTCCTGCACAGTGTGAACCGGCTGGTTGAGCGCGATCACCACAACGTCATCACTGCCGCTGTTTTTCACCGTCACCTGAGAAAGGCACACACAGGTAATGTAAACTTGATAGCTTCGTACCTCACTCAACCATACATGCTAATGTTGCTAACAATGAATGGAAGCTTATAGTCACCAATTAGCACATTAGTCATTTTCATAATTGGCCTGTCCATGCTCCGCCCACATATTTGTTCGTTCATGGCAGTTGCACTAAAGGTTGGTGAAGCTTTACAGAATGTCGGCACAAAGATAGAAATGACCAAATACCTCTAAAAAAATTAATCTCAATGAGTGTAACCAATGGTCGTGTTTACAGTATGTAAAAGGTTTGCATTTTAATTTTCTCCACAATAATTCAGATTGCCCACAAGGGGTGCTATTAGCACTCAAGTAGCGTTTTCTGCATCTTTAAGCACGAGGAAACCCACACCAGCAGCCCACTCTGAATAACTTTGTTCACATCTCAACAATTAGGAATTATGAAAAAAGGAGTATGGTTAGAGTCAAAATGGTAAACAAAGTAGTTGGTTAGCTAAAGGTAAGGCTCAGTGTTATTTAATGTGTTTTTTTCCACAGTCAGTTAATTCTACAAACACAGGTTCAAGATAGCAAAGACAGTAGGAACAGCAGGGGGCGCCTTAACTTCCAAATCCGGGCATGTTTAGGAGGACTTACGATTTTCAGCAAACTTTAAAATCTTAAATTGTTGCTGGCTTTACATACAACATTACAGTCCTAAACTAAACAGCTTTTGGCCATTTTGTAATTTGCAGCACCATCTGTTCTGAACTTCAACAAACTTCTGAATTTGTCTAGTGTTCTTATTACCTGATAGACCACAACTAACCTGCACTGCAGTTCGCACTACTGCATGTGAGGAGGCAGTGGGGAAACGTTCGATATTGCAACTACAACTCAATGAGCACTTGGACTTGACAGAATATTTTAATGAACTTGAAGGTCTATGGCATGGATGAAATTGTGATTACAGTACGTTTTGAAACTTGTTGAATGTTCTGTGGGAATGTAGGTTCACCTGGAGTTCAGCTGTAGCGAAGAGGCCGTGTTTATCTGTAGCTTTGACCTGGGCGGTTATGACCTTACCGCCCATTCCTGTCAAATCCATCACATAGACCTGACCAGAGGAGCTCTCCACTGCTAGCAATGAACTGGACTCCTCCAGAGAATACTGAAGCTCCTCAGTGTCCCCAACGTCAGGGTCAGTCGCCTGCAGAAACACGGAAACCACAACTGGGATTAAAGGTGAATTATGCTATTAGTATACTTAGTAAACTAAACATAAGTGAGTTCTTTCAGTCTACTTTTTATGTACTTATCAGAAATATACTAAACAAAATGATACTTAAGTATACTTGTATACTTCTGTATACTGACAAGTATACAGAAAAGTTTGAGTATATGTGGCCTACTCTTGTACTTCTATATAAACTTGTATATACATATACTTGTACAAACCTATACTTGTGGGCTGTATTTGTAATTATACTTCATAAAGTGTACTTTCATAAACTCAAAAGTGGGACAGAAGAATGTAACTAGTAAACGAAAGTCTACCTATAAGTTCACTTTTGCTGTAGTTCACAGTCGGGGTTGCACAGACTAGTCGACTAGTCGACTTTACTGCTTGGCTTGACGCTATAAGCTTGATGTCAACTAGTCGCTGATCACGTGATTGACAGTAACAACTTGGACGCCTCAGAGAAGACCACAGGTGATTTCAGGGTCCGTATCTCCGGTTCCCTAAAGGCTAGTAATGCGATCCAGGGCTCGTTGGAAAGTCACGCTCTACTGACCTGTGGACTTCGGATTTTTAAAGTCAGTTTTTTATGGTCACTTGTTGCAAAGCATTTTCTTCTGCTGTGATTTTATTCATGATGTCTTCAATGATTAGTTGACATCAACTCAACTATCACCACATAACTGTTGACTTTAAAAAGTCTGAAGTCGTGCTGCCCCTAGTTCACAGCATAGCTGCCGTACAAAATAAAACTTAGATGCAAGAGTTGTGTACTCAAAGTGTACTATTCTTACACATACACAATGCTTAGACTATACTTTCCTAAAATGAAAAGTGGACTAGCATTACATAAACAGTAAACTAAAAGTATATATACATGTTTACCTGTGGTTTTCTTCAAAGTATACTTTCCTAAACTAAAAAGTGGGCTATAAGAATATATAACTAATACCTATAAGTGCACCTCTTGTGTCGTTTAGAGTACAGCTGCAGTACGAAAGGTGTAAACCAGTTGTGTACTCAAAGTTTACTACTCTTACAACCGAAGTATACTTAAAAGTATACTTGTATAAACTTAAAAGTGGGCCAATTTTGTCCCAAGAAGTATTGAAGTAGTACACTTACAAGTATACTACTACCCTGATATTAGTATACTTAATACATATAGTATACTTGGGAAATATACTTCAACTTTACTTAAGTTCACTTAATAAAATGAGCCTTAAGCATACTTTATGTACTGGTTTGGCATAAATAAAGTGGTAAATGAGGTCATTCAGAGTGGTTTGATGTAAAATGCTCCATTCTAGTGTCAGAACTGTTCAGAATGTTTGAAGAGTTTAATGCCTCTAAAAGCTCCCACACAGAAAGCTGTTGCATAAGGTTGGTGATGAATACATGGCCTGATGTCCAAGACGTTGTTTTATGGACATTTTGAGAAGGTCTTGGCCTAAACATATTTTTTAAAAGCCATTCACAGTGCAGAGGTACATGCAAGGCCTTTTAAGGCAAAATAGTCCCCAAAGAAAACGTATCTGTTCAGATTCATTTCCATTTTAGCATCATCAACATTACATATAAAACTCAGAAGACTCGTGTGGGTTCACTGGTGGTTTTGGATAGTAAATAAAATGGCTATATTTGTGTTGGAGACATTGTTTCCTCTGGTTTCTATCAGCACCACTGTAAAGAAATCTGAGTCTGTAAGTTTATCTACAGTGAACCATTTCAACCCAGTCTGAATCTTAACAATTATGAATTATGCAAAAAAGCTGGATGTAATTAATCACAACCCTAAATTGCCAGTAAAGTCAATACTATTTTAACAGACACTTTGGTCGATTCTCACATCTTTTGTTTACATTTAACAAATATCAAACCTTAATCTCAACCCAAAAGTCTAAACCCAAATCTAGCGGTATTTTTGTGGTGTTTAAACGTTATGTAATGTGTGTTGTACTGTACAGGCAGAACTACCTTCACTGTCACTACTGGAAACCTGAATGGGGCAATGCTGAAGACTTCTGCCTCATACTTTTCACTGTCGAAGACCGGGGGCTCGTTTACATCTTCTACCTGAAGTACCACCTGAGGAGGGAAGAGAGAAAGGTGAGGGAGGACTACATGCGTTCTTGCTGTAGATGAACACCAGTATGAAATGTCTGTTTAGGAGTGTTTATGTTTGTAGGTATGGGCTAATACCGTGGTCACAGCAGTGCTGGGAGGGGTCCTGCTGTCAGTAGCTTCCACTTTAATGAAGTACCACTCCTGTTCCTCTTTATCCAGGGACTGAAGAGTCCTGATAGTACCACTCTCGTCCACGGAGAACAGGTCTGAGTGCGAGGTCAGTTTGTAAGTGACCTGGACCAGCTGACTTCCCGTTATTGCTTTCACCACGCCCACTTCTGTTTCCACCGGTTCGTTCTCCTTCACTGAGAAGTGGTAAGTGGAGTTCTCAAAAGCCAAGTCATCCGTCAGAGAAGCTGCTCTAATCTCGATCAGGACCTTTGCTAAGAAGGAAGAAAAAACGAGTGTGAGCATCTGGTGGGGTCACTCAACATCCCTCAGAAAATTTCTTATGCAATAAGATTGCAAATCAGCGCAGCAGTGCCACTCGACAGCATGAGTGAGTGTGTTACTGCAACAACACCACAACGTTGTGAGGGTAATTGTGTGTGGTGTGTTTTATACGCACCTGTACTATTTCTCGGAGGAATTCCATGATCCTCTGCTATAACAGTGAGCTCTAACTCCATGTCTTCGGTGAGATCAGTAAGGTCACGAGTCCAGGTGATGACTCCTGTGTCAGGATGAAGATCCAGCAGGGCAGGCTCTGAAGAGAACCTGGAGGCAGAAAATATTATCTATCACTCACTCACTCACTCACTCTCTCTCTCTCTCTCTCTCTCTCTCTCTCTCTCTCTCTCTCTCTCTCTCTCTCTCTCTCTCTCTCTCTCTTTCTCTTTCTCTTTCTCTCTCTCTCTCTCTCTCTCTCTCACTCTCACTCTCACACTCACTCTCACACTCACTCTCTTAACCAGGTACATTCTTTCAGAACATTATCTTTGTCACAGTATCTGTCAGGGTTCCACTGTATGTCCTGTTAAAAGGTTCTACTCTTGGGCTCATTTATTTATTTATTATTATGTTTTTTTTCAGATCACACTGATAAAATTGATTTTTCTTCCCTAAAGCTAATACTCACTCCAATTCTACTTTTAACCTCAACCCGAAACCCAAAAGACATTAGACTTGGTTAGAATATAAATGGAAGACTATTAGAACTAGACCTTCGATTTGGGCCATCAATGTCAAAACTCGGTCAAAACATGTGGCCAAACCCCACCTCAGTGATAACGAAAAAACCCACCTCAACGATTTTGTGAACGTCTGCCATCCAACATTTTACAAAGAAACAGGAGTAGTGCTGTAATAGCTGGGGAGCTTAAATACAAGCATAATTCTACCGAATGAAAATGAACAAAAAATTACAGATGGAAGATACTTAAATGGAAGGATGGATGTGGGGATAGCAGAGTTTTTGCTAGCAAGAAAAGAAAATGAAACAAATAAACACATCTTAGTTTTTTTTGCTAAACATAACACTCAATTTTGAGTTAGACAAACCTATCCTTCCATAACCTAACCCACACCTATCCTTCCATTTATATTCTAACCAAATCTGGATAAACAAACGTCTTACATTTAATGTACATGTAGGTATGTCTATTGGGTTAGAAAGCATGTAATAGCAGAGGGGATCTCTCAGAGCCGTCTAGGCTTTCAGAGAAGGCCTGGTGATTTCTGGGAACTAGAAAATATATATCTAATTTTTTGTTCATTTTTATTCAGTAGAATTCTGCTTGTATTTAAGCTCTGCCACTATTACAGTACCAATCTTGTTTCTTTGTAAAATGTTGGATGGCAAAAGTTCACAAGATCATTGAGGTGGGTTTTTTTTCCATTACCACGGAGGTGGGGTTTAGTTGAATAATTGTTTATTTATAGTTGAATAATTATTAATTTAGTTGAATAATTGTTAAAGACAACAAGAGCATCTACAGAGCTTCTGCACTGGGCCATCCAGATAAAACAGGTTCAGTCTGATCCACTAAGGGGCAGTGTAGCTGCAGGCTCTCAGCCCTGTCACCTCTATCAAGCAGAAACACACTTCATTCCACTGGTGTAATCAGTTGGTCTCAGTCTTGTAACAGTTGATTAGTTATATGAGGTGGACTAAAAACCTACAGCCACACCAGCTTAGTGTATAGCAGATAAGATAACAGACTGGCAATAGGCCTCGGCGATTGGGTGATGTAATGATATCATTGGGTCATGTCCGGGGATAATTGACAAGTAAGCCAATGATGATGCTTCAAAGGTGATTGTTGCTGTGTTGGGAAAGAGAATTGATAGAGAAGGACTAATTTATTTTTAAGTAACTTGTTAAATATTAAATAATATGTACATATATTATTACAGGCACTACATATTACAGGCTGGGGGGTTCCCAAAGTACAACATTCCAATTTTCAGCATTTTCCATACAGCTTTCAGTGTTTCAATAATTCAGATCAAGTTGTAAAATTATGAAGTTATATTACTTCATGGTTTCCCACGAAAATCTATATCTGCAATTCTACAATACATTCACTATGACAGCAGTAAATTCCTTAGCTTTAAGTAAAGTATTTGGACATGGCTTAGGAACATACTCACTCATGCATGTTTAGCAGTCTACATTTTTCCACAAGGGGGAGACATTAGCACACAAGTCACTTTTGTGTGTCATTTAAAGAGAAGAAGCAGCCATGAACCCACACCAGCAGGAGCTCATGAATGCACGTTTGCAGTTATATGCTAATTCCTTTTAGATACTGTCGAGGCCTGACTGACAAAGAATCATTCTGACAGACCTCATGTTAAGCAGTTAGTTGTTTATAGGGATGAAATGAACCAGTTAACTAGAAATGCTTGAAGTTCGTAAAAGTTCGTAGCTGACCTGTATGAGATGAGAGAGTTGTTCCCAGCGTCCAGATCTGTCGCAGACACGGTCAACACAACATCTCCTTTTTTGACATCCTTAGCCAAAACACGTGCTGAGTACAATTCCTCTGTAAAGATTGGATCGTTGTCGTTCACATCCGTTACGATAATTGTCACCGTGGTAACGTTCTAGAGAGAGAACATCATTCACTTTACAGGAACACTTAATTCCAAAACACTGTCACGGCTGATGTTGCTGAGGGTGAATGAAAGCTGCTATAAGTGTATAAAAACATGATCTACAGTACTGGTCACTGTCGATACAGCCTTGGTGTATTAACTTTAATTTAATTTTAGCCACATGCTAGCCACACAGCATTTTTTTAAGTTCTTGAGATAAAAGAACACAGATCTGTAATGAGTAAATGAACATGTTACACTTGTATAAGAACCCAAAAGGTAAAGTGTTTACATTTCTTGGTGGTTCTCCGTGATCAGTGGCCACGATGACCAGCTCATAAACATCTTGTGTTTCCCGATCTAGATTCCCAGTCACAGTCAGAGTCCCTTCCTGAAATACATATTAAAGAAGGTTCATATCACTTCAGAAGCATTGAAAAAAGAGTCTGCTGATTCAGGGGTGCACATGGTAAGATGTAACAGATTTTTAAATGTGCCAAACACAACCTTTTCACAAGAGTCAGAATATAACCACTAAAAAGTGCAGTAAATGTTTTCATAGTGAGTTTTTTGATTACTAAGTTGTGTGTATAAGTCACACAGTTTACTCCTGTGGTGGCTGTCATACAGCACCGTTTGAAGCCTGTAAGAGCCAGGCTGAAGTACAGCCTCCCCGTGAGGGGGTTAGTTTAACATGCTGTTACAACTAAGCCTCCAAAAGTAAACAATGAGAGCAATTCTTATCCTCACATAAATTCAGAACTGTTCATTTCTTAACTTTGATGATTTTATGATGAATCAAAAAAATACAATATCAAAGTGTACTATAAAAAATAAAAAAAAAATTTTTAGCACGCTGATATTTGCTGTTCACTGCGGTCAGAAATAAATTTGCCTGTGTTTGACACAGTCTCTCTTCATCAATCACATTTTTTTCTGCATATATTTTTATGCACTCCGCGGGGTTCCCTCAGGACCCACCACAGTATCTTGTTGCGTGGGAGTGATTTTCAGTGCCGTGCATAGGAACGGATTAGTAACCAGGCAAATGCAGGCAGGAGCAGGAGGAAGCACGCATACAGAGAAATCCGACAAATTAATAAATGGCCTAAACAAAGTGGAACGATCCCTAAAGCATATATATAAATAATATAAAATGATAACAGTAAAACAATTCAAATGAATGAACTCGTTCTAAAGAGTTGCAAAGCAACCGATCACATGAACAACAGATAAATTCTTGTAGCTTATAGAGTCTGACAGCCGCAGCTGCCCAGCAAAACACCAAAAATTACCGCTCTGTGGTTTAATTCCTGCTTTGTGTTTACTGGTAATAAATGGCGTTTGGTGAAGTTACTCACAGTGAGCCTGATGATCATGACTGCCGTGTTATTTCAGCAGAGAATAATGTGTTTGTAAACAGACTATGTCAAATACTGGATGTCAGTTCTCCTTGACAGAACCACGTGGGAGCAGGACAAAATGTTTCGGTTGCGGGCGGGGGCGGGACAAATAAATCCGATTTTCTGTGGGAGCGGGCGGGAGCAGGCTGAAATCTTGTGGGAGCGGGACTGAAAAAACAGACCTCTATTTTTATTTAGGTTAAAAAGCTTGTTTGCTTTAAACAACGTGGAATTGTATTGAATGAACTGTGTTTGCAACATTTTAGTAGACTTTTCTAGAGACTGTGTTTTACAATTCACTCCACTTATATAATAAGTAACATTTCCACTCACGTCACTTTTGGAAAGAACTGTTCAGAAGCAAACAAAGCTGAAGTTTTTATTTGTAGAAGAGTTTTTATTTGTAGCAAAGACATGTAGGCTGCTGATGATTTATGTTGTTCGAATATTTTAAAAACCGAAAGCCAAGCAAAAACCAAGATGTGTTAGGCTGTAACGCTACATAGGCCTATGGGATTGTTTTGAAGGTGTTGTGGCACCTCACCATGGAGATGGTGAAGAGTTCATTGTAGGAGTAGGTGGTGAGGGTAACCATTCCATTCTCTTCAATGTCTGCATCGCTAACTTGGATATGATACACTTCCCCTGTTTGGTCCTCAGGAATCATCTGAGGGTTTTCTAGGTCTATGAATTGTGGGTTGTTGTCATTGACATCCAAAACTGTTATGTTGATCTGGGCAGTTGAGCTCAAGCCATCGACAGGCTGATCTATAGCCACCACCTGTGGAGGGAACAAAGGAATATTTTATTCTAATCTCTTTCTGCTACATCTGTAGTATATGATTGCTTACCATGGGTAGTTGTTTAGAAACATTTCCCTATACTTTGTAAAACAACAGGAAATCTGTTGTCTTAGAACTCACTTATAATAGTAGCCAGTCACTGTGTTTAGGGTAAACAGGTTTTCAGTTCAAAATACAATGAAATGCATTACAATTATTGACAAGTTTGAAGGAAACCAGAGACAGATACTTTTATCCAAAGTGACTTATAGTACAGGGCAGGGGTGGCACAGTATACTGCAATACTTTGAGGCTAAAATGGTATTGAACCACTACTTTTCTTTAATAGATTACCGAAATGCACTACTGTCTTAATCCACATTAAGAATGGTTGGATAGTGTAGTGGATTAAATGCTCAGTTTACCTGCTGGAGAACAGGACTTGATCCCTATTCAGGCAAAAATCAAAAACTCCACTATTATATACTAATAAGAGTCATAAAGAGTCCTAACGAGCATTACATTCACCTCCCATTGTACGTTGCTCTGGATAACAGCAAATGTTACATATACATGGAGAAGGCCTGTTTTAAATGTTTGGTTACTTTACCAATAACAGCATCTGCTAAATATGTTAATTTAAGGATTTCCTCATTGTGGCTCAAGTATCATGATAATATCACATCATTATGTCTGCAGTAATTCCCACCTCTGGTACACAGTACATTTTTAAATTCCTCGCTAGAGTCGAACTCCAGTTACAGCAGCTACAGGAACGGCAGATGAATTTACTTTAAATCTTTTGATATAATTGATTAAACACAAAAATCAGACATGGGTTAGTAGCCAGAGTTATTCAGTTCGACTCAACACCTGAGCCTGAAGCTATCCCACCCTGTAGTGATGACAGTGTTAAGTGATGATGAACTTCACCTGTATAATGTAGTTGTCTCTTGTCTCTCTGTCAAGGCTAGCATGACTCTGCAGGTGGACGACACCTTGACCGTTAATACTGAATATATCACTTGTGAGTAGAAAGTGGCCGTTGGAGAATCCACCCTTAAGAGATTAGGATCAAAGCGATGTTCATTAAAGTGACCAAAATACCAAACAGTGCTAGAACAGTGAATGAAAGCTTGTGGAATAAGATTCTGCCCTGTATCATAGTTCTGTTCTAGGTATAATGAATTGTTAGCACTTCATCAAACATTACATTTTTACCATTTTAACCATAGCTACATCTGTTGTAAACAGGCCTAGGAGTGGTGGTGCAATAGTCTATTGAGCAAGACTCTTCAGTTTAAACACTAGGTAAAAACCGCCTTCTGATAATGTATCGTAAAGGTGAAAGGTCCAAGATAACATTATTTGGCGAGAGGGGTGTTTGGGCTCAGTCCCAATGTTGGTATGATGTGTTTATGCATGCTGGGTATTGCAGTGAGAAAACACTGATCGATAAAAGCACAACATCTTGGATTCTACAAATTGTTAAGGCTGAGGGATGAATATTACACCACATGACAAATAACACAAAGAATGGATAATGATTCTCACCTCATCCTCATCTGTTACCTCCAGAGACACCAGAGCAGATCCAGGTGCTATGTTCTCATAGACAGCCACATCATACAGATCCTGGCTAAACTCTGGAGCTTTATCGTTCACGTCCTGCACCCAAACGATCACCACAGCGCTGCCTGTGAGAGATGGACTCCCGCCATCCCTTCCTTCCACCTCCAGCATATATCTCTTAGCCTGGCTGTAGTCCAGCTTCTCAGCCAGGCTTATAGACCCAGTTGCGGTGTCTATTGTAAAGGCTGCGGGTGGAGAAGGAGGTTCCTGCTTGGAGATGTGATACGACACAACGGCATTGAGACCCTCGTCTTTGTCGGTTGCGTTGACGCCAATCACATCTGTTCCTATGGTGGCGTTCTCCCAGACGATGGTCTCGTACTGTTGTTTGGAAAAGATGGGGGCATTATCATTGACATCAGTTATTGTGATAACCAGGGAAGCCTCTGCAGAGAGAACAGGTCGGCCTTGGTCTTGGGCGACCACCCTGAAATTATACTTGCTCTGGGTCTCTCTGTCCAGCGCTGCTGCAACCGTGATCAAGCCCGTGTCTGGGTTGACACTAAACATCCCAGCAGAACCCTCCAGACTGTAGCGTACCTCCGCATTTAAACCTGCATCTGCATCTGTTGCCAATATAGAAGTTACGTTGTCTCCAATTTCTGCGTCCTCTGGTATTTCAATAGAACTTGGGATGGGGGCAAACTCAGGACTGTTGTCATTGATGTCTAGCACCTCCACATGGACTAAGGCTGTGCTCCGGTTGGTGCCATCTGTGATGGACAGTTGGACTGTGTAGTTCTTCTGGGTTTCGTAGTCCAGTTTGGCTTTTGTTATGAGCGTTCTGCTTGGCTGGTCTATGGAGAACTTGTCTGCCTCTGTCTCAACTGTTAAGGTGACAGGAACCAAAGGATCCAGGGAGAAAAAATTCACCTGGAGAACATAATGTACATCTTTACTCTTTTGAACTTTTGAGAACAGTGGGAATAGGGGAGACCATTCCAGAACAAGGAGTTCCAGAATAGGCTGAAAGGGGAGAAGGATTTAGACCAGTGGGAAGAGGGGAATAAGGGAGATCATTCTAGAACACAGGAAATCGGAAAGGTCATTCTAGAACAGTGTGAACAGGGGAAATCATTCTAGAGCCGGGTGAACGGGGAGATCGTTTTGGAACAGTGGGAATAAGGAAGATCATTCTTGAACAATGTGAATGAGAGAGAACTTTGTAGAACAGTGTGGAAGGGAAGATTGTTCTAGAATAGTGTACATGGGGTAGATAACTCTAGAACAGCGGGAATGGAGGAAGTCATGCTTGAAATGTGAGAATAGGGAGATCATTCTAGAACAACGGGTATAGGGGAGATCATTCTAGAACTGTGAGAATAGGGGATATCCTAGAGCAGTGGGTATAGGGGAGATCATTCTAGAACAGTAGGAATGGGGGAGATCATTTTTGAACAGTGGGAATAAGGGAGATGACTGTTGAACAGCATAAATTAAGGCGAGAAAGTTCTTGAAAAGTGTGGAACAGGTGGAATAAGTTATTGGTATAGAGTAGTGGGTAACACCTCTGCCCTCCACAGTGCTTGTGAAAGCACCCTACACTATACCAATAAGGGTCCTTGGGCTAGACTCCTAACACTACCTTCGCCTTTTTCTGTAAAAAGTGATCAAAACTGTAAGTTGCTCTAGATAAGGGCAGCTACCAAATGCCATAAGTGTAAGTGGAATAGTAGAAATCATTCTAGAACAGCTTGAATGACAGAGAACATTCTAGAACAATGTGATAGTGGTAGATCCCACTAGGACAGTGGGAATAAGAGAAATTGTTCTTGAACAGCATGAATGAGGGAACATTCAGGAACAGTGGGAATAGGTGAGATAATTCTAAACCAGTGTTAATGGGGGAGAACATTCTAGAACAGTTTGAATAGGGTAGATCCTTGTAAAGTCCTTGTATAACCAATCAAATATGAGTAGTTAATATATAATAACAACAATTCTAGAATGCTGCATCCTCCAAAACAGCGTTCCTGGCCCTGGTGGTCCCCTGCAGGTCATATTTGTGTGTTTTTCTTGAACCTGTGCTTCCTGACTCTGATCTCAAAGCCAGGTAATTAGCTGATGAGTTCAATCAGGATTGTTGCAATAGGGCAAAGTCTGCAGTACAGGGACCGTCCAGGACTGGAACTGGAAATGACTTCTATTACTGTGTAATAAACATATGATGGTAAACACGATGGTAAACTCTCATAAACACAGCTGGTCCTGAACCGGTCATGTCCCCCCATCCCTGCGGAATGGAGGCTAACAATAATGTCGCACTTCAAGAATTTCACCTTGACAATTTCTGCGCCTGCCTCTTGCTCCTCCTCTACTTTTCCCTGATAGACTTTCTCAAAGAACTGGGGACTAGATTCTCCAGGTGCTTTAATGTCCACAAGCACAGAGGAAGATCTGCTCACAGTGCCCCCTAGAGGAGTGGAAGGGAATTGCAAACGTTGAAAATTCTCAGCCTCCAAGTTCCTTTGTCATCCTCAAGTCACAGAAGAACAGGTTGTGAAAGATAAGTAACTTACCATCTTTTGCTCTAACATAGAGTGGAAACTGAAGGATTTCGTTATCCGGAAGATTGATGGCTTGGATTAATTCTATCTCGCCTGTGTTTTCATCAATGGCAAAATAGCCCTCGTCATTGCCAAAGTCAATGAAGTAACTGACTTGCCCATTTGGTCCTTCATCTAGGTCTGTGGCCTCTACCTGTACGTCATACAAGGATACACATGACAATTATGGTGCTTATTCTGCTTTCTCTTCACAGGAAATAAAACTTTTATGGTTTATGTGGTTGTAATTAGGTAGCTAAAAATATGTATGTTGTATAATGATATTACAGCACAGCAGCGATTATCGTCACGTAGGTCATAAACATGTTTGAGATAAGCTGGATGGTGCTTCTGCTGAGAAACAATCAAATAACAATGAGAACGTCACCTCGGCAACCAACATTCCAACAGTCTGGTTGATGAAAACTTTGCCCTCATACTTGGATTTTCCAAACACTGGGGTGTTGTCGTTCTCATCAGAGAGGGTGACGTTCACAGTGGCCAGTGCACTGAAGTTGGAAGCAGGGCTGTCTTTGGCCTCAATCTTCATGTTTTTAAAAAGAAATGACAGGATTTTTAGTAGATCAGGATTCACTACATTGTCAAAGGTGTGGTACTGACTTTCAGTATAATACTAATGTTATATAAGAACATTTTGCATTTCATTAATATAATATGGTAAATAATGTAAATTATGACGATGAATATGGGTCATTCTACAGAAATGTCCATTTTTATGTCCCTAGCGTTTACAGATATATTACACTTGAAAAACATGTTAGGGTTAATTTGTTTATATTTTAAAATAAAACAATGTTATTTTAACAATTTCACCTTCTTGAGCCTCAATTTAGCAATATTGTTTTTTAAATCAATTATATATAATAAAATATAATTCCACGCACCACAGAAGTGCTTGTCCGCACAGTCATGTGTAAGGTGCCATATTAAAAACGTTTTTCTACAATTTTAACTGTAATAATCTATACATGACTATGAAATATATGATTCAAATGACATAAAGAAAACAAACGCCAAATAAATATTATAAAATAATGAAAGTTGTTGTCCCCAGGAGTCGTGTCACTGGTGTTACTGCGTAACAAAAAAACTCTTATTTTGAAATAAAAATCACACTGATGACATCACTTGACTTCCTTTTACCTGTTTTCTGAAGATCTATGAAGAAAAGCTCATGGTGAGTCCACTGTGTCTTTCAGTTATCAGAGATTTTCTCATTTAGCTCATGATTTCATATGAAGCTTTTAGTTAAGGTCACTGGTATGACCGACTTTATTCTGAGGTAATTGTGCAAAAATAGAATACAAATGGATTAAATTACATATTTAGTATATATTTAATATGTAGAATGACCCATACAACTACAGACTATAACTACAGATGGGTGACAAAATCAACAGAAAAACCTGAATAAGTGTGTGGAGGAACATAACGAGAGCAGATGCCTCCAGACAAGTGTACTACATGATACAATTAAGCAAATAATGTAAATGGCTTTTAAAATGTGTTCATCATTGAGGGCCTAGATGGCAGGAGCTTCAATAACAAAGGCTGCTCAACTGACTAGTGACTAAGTAACATCTTCATTTAGATGAAAAGACATTAGTAAATAAGGCTGGAAATTGTGTTTGAAAGCATATGTTCAATGATGGTCATGCTTGTGCATCAGTGTGATATGTAAGAAAGAACTGAAGAGAAACTCTTCTTTAAGTGACTGAGAACACACACTATCTAAGCTGCTTATCCTCCTGGGTCAAGGGGGTGCTAGAGCCTATCCCAGCAGTCATTAGGCAGAAGGCGGGAAACACCCTGGATTTAGTATGTCCAATTAGCCTTACTGCATGTCTTAGAAAGGAAACCCGCATAGGCACAGGGAGAACCCTGGTCGCCCAGCCAGGGAATCCAACCCAGGCCATTCTGCTGCCAGCCCTAAGCAAAAACAGCAATCCACATCTACACAGGAAGGGATGTTTTAGGGGGGCTGCAGTGCATAAACCCCTCCATTACAGTGACGAAGACCATTTGAGAGTCCAGTGGTGTTACCACTTATTGACAGAGATGTGGAAAAAAGTGATCTGGTCAAATGAGTCATCCTTCAGTGTCCCCATTAACAGGCCATGGATGGTTAATGAATGGTCTGGAATATGAAAATGTCAAAAAGATTTCAACCCAGTTAAACACTTCGGGGAGATTGTGGACCATGATCTCCACCACCATCTTCAAAGAACCAACTGAGGGAATATCTTGTGGAAGAATGGTGCTCCATCTCTGCAGTACATCTCCAGAGACTCCAGAAACTGAGAGTTGCAGAAGCTGATCTGATGGTTTGTGGTGGCCCAACACCTTGCTAAGACGCTTTGTTTTAGTTTTTCCTTTAATTTGTCACCCATCTAAATATTTATACTACTACTACTACTATTGATTTTATCTCATAAAATAATACAGAATCTATTAATCTATGCTCTAAATATTTGTTTTTTCACCTGAACAACATTAGCAATAGTGTATATAAATGTCATGAAGTGCTCTTACCTGAAAGGTGAAGCTGCTGGTGGTCTCTCTGTCTAGTTCAGCAGATGACTTCACCCTGATGGATCCATCCGGGCTAATGGAGAATGGAACCGTATCTGGAATAACATGCAGCGTTCCTACGAAACCTCCCTGGTGGTGAGATGAATGTGTTTTTACATGCAGATTTAATATTCTGTAAGATTATTCAATCAAAATATTCTTGGATGTTCACAACGTCTTACTATATTCACAAACCCCAAACACAGCTTCTGGAGAATTTGGGAATTTGAATGTGTTTCTCGAGAAGATACCTGATCCAGGTCTGTGACTTTGGCCTGAAGTACAACCATATTATTTGGGGAATTTTCCGGAATAACTGCAGTGTACTCGCTCTGGTCAAACTCTGGTGGGTTGTCATTCTCATCTTCAACAGCCAGAAACACAACAGCATTGCCAGTCTTTGTGCTGTCATCCTGCTGAGCTGCCTAAAAACACAAACATGTGCTACAATGTGAGATATATACACATATGTGTGTGTGTGTGTGTGTGTGTGTGTCACATTTGCTTTTAGAATTTGCTTGTTCACCCAATCATGATGATGTTATAAGGAGCATTTCTGCTCAGACTGATTTTTAAAGGAAGCAAATTACAGGGCAGCCAATCAAAACAGAGGTAATGTAATTACATGTATCAGTCTTAAAGGCACAGAAATAAAAACGATAAAAAATGAATTAGGACAATTTTTGATACATGATAAAAACCCCACAAATGACATGAGTGGACACCAGGTGAGGAATAAAAAGAGAGAAAACTGTGGGATATGAACCTTTTAAAACTAGTCAAAAAACATTTCTTACTTTGAGATTTAAACACACATTTACTTGTGTTTAAAGGTGCTGTGTGTAAGATTTAGGGGGGTCTATTAGCAGAAATGGAATGTAGTATACAATGCTAGCTGACCATGTTTTGTTCTGAGAGGTTTGAGAACCCAAATGGTGACAAATAGAAAAAATACTTATTATTTAGCAAAAGAAAAAGCAAACAAGGGTGAATCCTCGTCAACAAAGAAGCAAAAACCTGACAGCCACTGTAGATTCCGCTTCACGCTTGGAAAGGGAGAGGTGAGGGTGAGGTATTCAGTTGATGCCACTAAATCTTATGCTCTGCAACTTTAAGTCATGTTATTCAGAGGTTTTTCTTCTATTGGCAGATAAATTTGCTTATTTCAAGTATTATTGCTTAAAATCAGAAAAGTGATCTGTATTATATCCTGAAACAAACAAAGTTTTCTGCAAATAGAAAAAGACAGTTTCTCTAAAATAGAAGGTGAATAATCTTATAATATTCATAAAACAGTCTCATACGGAGAGATATTAGAGATGGACAGGGGACAGGGCTGGTGATCACTACTCTAGATGGTAAAAGCTGTAAAACTGTACCTGTATTTGAATGGTGATCGTTTCTATTTCTTCTCTGTCCAGTGCCGTTGTCACTGAAATGACCCCACTGTTTGGGTCGATGTTGAAGTTGCTTAGGACCTCATTGGGGTCAACTTGAAAAGAATGCACACAAACCAAACCAATTAAACCAAAACTCAGTAAAGAGAAACTCAGCCTGGATGTCAGCTGGACTGGATAATAGTTTACAATACGTGTACTAAATCAGGATTCGCAGTTAGGAAATTGTTTTATGGGCAAATGATTTGTGAGTCATGGACATGCAGTAGATCCTAAATCAGAAGGAGGAAGAACCTGATAAGATACCGTACCCGCAGTTATGCTGTAAACTACAGGCTCGTTGATTCCCGTATCTCCATCTTGAGCTTTTATTGCATTTGGAGCAACTGCTGAGATTTGTCCCTCCTGAAAGCGAAGTTCAGAAGCTTTTAAAAACTTTTGAAAAGTTTTTTTAAGAGCCCAAATCATGGAAAGCTGAATTTTCGTCAGTTTTTTTTAATAAAAGTTTGATCTACTGTCCCCATGTTAAAAATTAGGATGAAAAAACAGCCTGATTTGCTTTCTGTTTGTTGTAATATAAAAAAAAAACAAAACACATTTATATGTATAAACCTTTTTATCCTCCAGCAGTTTAGCCCCACCCATTCATGCTGAAGTTACAAGGAGTGTTTTAGCCCACACTGCTTTTTGAATGAGGTGCAAGGAATTCAACCAGGACAGAGATCATTTACATATACAGTCATATGCAGATGTTTGAACACCACAATCAAATTATGTTTTGTTGATTTTCTTAGTGAAAATAATCCAAGTCTACAGAGAGCAAACTTAAATATGGCATTGCACTGCATTTTTAGTGGACAATTTCTATTTATTCGCTGAGTTTAACATACTGGAAAGAAACAAAACATGACAAATGTGCCGTAACTTTTGCACAGTCCTCATTTCATGTTTGATTAATGTTAAATTCAGCAAATAAACAGTAATTATGCATTAAAATATGCAGAACTGTGTTCCCTGTAGAGGATGTGTTAACTTACTTTCACTGTGTCATTTGACCAGGGGTGCTCAAATTTTTGCATATGACTGTATCAGCCTTGTAGGCAGAGTAACAACCTGTTTCATTCTAAGGTATAAATAGTGGTCAGAAAATTGTCCTGGAAAAAGTGAATTATGACTGGTTTTGGTACATAAACCTTCACAAAGTGTTATTAGTGGACATTAGGGAAACACTGAGTCACATGGTCATCAGTAGCAGAATACCTGGTTCTCTGGAAAGGATGCCTGATAAAGACCGTGATCAAAATAAGGGTTCAGGTTGTCAAAGTCTTCCACTTTGATGGTGATGGTCGCTGTGTCCTTCTGGTCATCAATATCCTGCAGATAACAGAAAGGAGAAGATGGCTGAACAATATGTTCTCTAAAACAACAGTCAAAATTAGCTGACAGATGGGAATTTTTAGTGAAGTTAAGTTTCTTTAATTAGATAACTAAAGCAAATAGTCAAAAACAAGGTGCAAAGACATGATATGCACACGAAAGCTTGCTTATATACTTGAGTATATACAAGTTAAAAGTAAATGGTTTAACAAATAAATATGTTTTTTTGTTTGGTGATCTGGGGTGCGGTGACCAGTAGGCATTACATTTTGCACAAAGGCAAATTAGCATAGTTGTGGGCAGCTCCAATTTACATGGATTTCGTATGAATTTTCTTGAAAGGTTTAATAAAAGAACAATAAATTGATGCACAGGAGCTGATTAGAGAGGTAATGAGAGAAATCTCCAGGCTTTTTAGATTTGTAACAAATGCTTTGAAGACCTAAGGAAAGTGTAAGGAGTACATTTTTTTTTTTTAATTTTTCTTTTTCTCTTGGAAATATAATTGAATAAATTACAAGTACTTAATACTATGTATTTAATACTTCAATACAAGTATTTAAATATTTAAGTATTTAGTACTTGAGTGAAGAGCAAGTCTTCTAAAATGTTACCAAACCTGTACTTTGTATTGCTTTTCCACCCTTGGTCAAAACATGTATGTATATATGTATAAAAAATCTACTTTACTTTTAATGAAAGTCAACGGAACCAGAATTTGGGTCATTTCTTTTGGTCCATTCATTATGAAATTGATATACAATGTAAAGGGTAACAGGTATTTTCAAATAATGTCAAAAACTATATATATATATAATTCTTACAGTGAAATATATCTCAAAAAGATATCTCTAGAGGCAATAGAGAAACAATAGAGTCAGTAACAGTGGACAGCTTCATAAAGTATTTCCAGTTTTGGACCACATCATTGCAAAACAAAAAAATGGTATAAAATGAATAATTGGATAAAAATACAAAAATGATCAATGGATTAAAAATAACAACATAATTTGGTTGTTTATTTGCTATTGTTATGTTTCAATCCAGTTAATGCTCTCACTCCACCCATTAGCATGTAACATTTGTCTAAATGTTTCCAAAATGTCTGTTTAAGATGTATTAAATATCATAAGTGATAAATCCATGTTGCAGGTTGTGAGGGATCCGTTTGAAACTGTTTGCCATGGATGGGCTGCATTATGAATAAGAGGGAGATAAACAGGTGTTAGGACTGTCTGTGTTGTGTGGATGGAAGAAAACTGGTGAGATATGCTTTAAAAAAGTTGATCTTTCTGTGAGTTATGGGGTAAAATTGTGTAAGTATGTAAAGAAGGACCCTCCCCACACCAGTGATTGTCCCCTTAGTAGCTACGTCTCTGGTTCATGTTTAAACACCTTTAGACCTTCAAATGTACATGATCTGAAATTGTGTCATAGACTTCAGTGCACTTGAATCATCTGACCAGCTTGGTGTTACAGCACCAAAGCTGACCACAGATGTTTTATATTCTATTGAATGGAAGTAACTGGTTTAGAGGGTTAATGTTTACCTTAGCTTCCACGGTGAAAGTGTATTGGTTGGCAATATTGTAGTTAAGGCGACTCAGCAGTCTGATGGTCCCATCACCCCTCAGCTCAAACTCAGCTGGAACTGGAGGCTGAACATAAACATAAACATAAATGAAAAAAAGTTTGAGAATTTCAGCCAGAAATGAAACAGTAAGGTGAATCTAATAAATGAAGGCTAGCAGTGTGAGTTAGCCACAGGATCAGCCACAATGCCTTTTTCCGAGGTGCTAGATCTGAGGATTTCACGAGCTTTATTATTTAAAGCTTTTATTTTTCTGTGTTTATGTGAAGCATTTTGCCACTGTGTATGAAAAGTGCTATAAAAATAACCTTGCCTTGCCTACATTGGGAAGAGGGGTGGTGTGATTTTGGCACAGGACAACTGTGATGACAACTTGCATGGGGTAAGAAATCTCTGTAGGAGTCACAGAGATGGGAGCGGCTACTCGATTCCCGCACTGCCATCACACAATAAACCCTCATACATGCAATGTGTTCAGCTGCTCACAGTAGAAAACATGTATGAACGCTACATGTTATTGTAGTGTCATTAACCACAAGCACTGCTGTCTTAAGAGAATGCAGTGTATCAATAGCATTGTCATTAGTTGAGAATCAGCTTGGCTGCACAAAATCAAACTTTTTCTGTCATTTTAAAACTTTTCAATGTTTGGAAAGTCCATAGCAGCTTGATCTGTGCCACAGAGAATGCAAGTAAATGCTTCTTCGAGTGCCTCCATACAAAAACTGTGAAAACTTCTTTTCTCATAGGATATGATGGAATATTTAGTGACAAGGCAGTTTTCACAGTATTAAAATAACCATCAAAAACAAATAATCGCACAAATAACCACAAACAGCAGATATGCATTCACACTAACCACAAAACGTCCCACAAACATTAACACTTCACAAGTTCACAGCACAAAGTCTGATCACCAGCAGCCCTCTGCGAACGCCTGGGCACAACTGGTCAAATGGTTTTGTTTTCAGAATGTTTTCTTGATTTTCTAAGTGACACATCCTCAACAGAGAACACACTTCTGCACATTTTAATACACAGTTACTGTTTATTCACTGAGTTTAACATATTGAAAAAAAAAAGTGGACTGTGCCAAAAACTATTTAAGAATTACATTTAGCAAATAAATAAAAATTGTGCACTAAAATTTGCAGAAAAAAATCTCATATTTAAGTGTGTTCTATGTAGAGAAATCTTAGAATATCAACCCAATGTAATTTGAGCAGGGCTGCCCAGACCTTTGCAAACTGTTCAGATTTTGATTCCCACAAAAGAATCTCCAATAGTGTTTACTGTACCGTAAATGATGTACCGTGCTGTAAAATATGCAGCAATACAGAGTTACAGTGTGTGATATGTACACAAAAAAGTATTAACTTGTTAATCATATAGATTTGCCCCAACCCTATATAGATTAACCCCATATAGATTAATCCTAACCCTAACCTCAGCCCAAAACCTAATCCTAACCCTCACCCTGGCCCTAATCCAAACCCTAACCTTAACCCCAACCCAAAACCTAATCCTAACCCTCACCCTGGCCCTAATTACAACCCTAATCTTAACCAAAACTTAATCCAGTAAAGCTCCAGTTATAGAATGGTGTGAGCTGCATGTCTATTACAGCTTATTGAGGATGTTATGATGGTCTGTATTAGACCTGTTACATGTTCAGTTCCTCTCAGGTTAAACATCTACACATACAAACTTGGACTCTCCAAATAAAAAGAAAAACAACTAAATTCAGCAGATTATAAACAAATTGAATTCACACAGTTATTTAAAAGTCTCCTGGTAATCTACTGAATATATTCACTGCTGCTTCATCATAGACATGTTGTTGATGTTACTGAAAGCCAGTTGAGTGTTTATTTCATCTAAAAGGACCACTCAAAGTGTCACCAAGATGTGGTTTAAAATCTGAAAATGTAAAAATTCAGCACTACAAAACTACTGGGAGCATATTAAAATTAGAGCATATTTAACCTGTTATGAGTATTTATTAATATAAAACATTTAAATGAATATTCTTTCTTAGTATTGTATTTACACCCAGTTAAAACTTTGACTCAGTTCAGTCAGCCTGTAAACAATTTAGCTCTATTTAAGATGCGGTTTAGAAACTGAACATTTAAAAAATCATAATTAAAAAACAATGTGGAGTAAAATTTGGCACAGTTTTGTAAATTAACTAGCAGTTTTTGCTTGAATTGTTTCATGGAAATTCATGACATTACCTGCCAGCTCCTAGTGAACTGGTATTGAACAACCCATCATGCATGTGGTCTTTAGATTTTATTTACACTAACACAGCACACTGCAGACAGCTAATGTGGCTATATAGCATAGTAGCATAAGTCAGATATACACTCAAATACAGCTCACCTGTATGGAATAATAAACTGTGCTGTACTGTGGTGTGACATCAGCATCAACTGCCTTCACTTTCAGGACATCAGAGCCGACCTGTATTGTCTGAACAAAGACAGGTCATTTTTAATTTGAAGGTGACGATCAATGGTTTTAAATTCATAGTGGGTTGATTTTAAGTAATAGTTCAGTGTAAATGAAATGACATCAGTGTTAATTAACATAATTTGATAAACAAATGAAAATGAATTCAACAAAACATGATACCATATCTGACAGGCCTCACCTCAGACACAATGTTGTTGTATTCTTTGTTTTCAAAGACTGGTGCGTTATCATTGATATCCACAAGATCAAGGGTGCGAGGATTCCTCACCTGTGATTAAGAAATACCAATATATATAAGATGAATGGACCAATAGAAATCCTCCAAAATTACTAGAAAAAATCTAGTTCCATTATCTTCCATTCAGAATTGAGAAGAATTTTTCCTTCTCTTATAATTTTGATGAACTATATATATGTCGCTGTCCAAAGGAAAACGAGTATCTCCAAAATAGTAACTTTATAGAAGAGGGCAAAATGTTTTTAACTTTGTTCCATTTTTGTTGTTTTTAGTTTTTGACATTAATTGAAATTGCATGTTGCCCTTTACATTGTGTGTAAATTTCATGAAGAATGGACCCAAAAAAATGGACCAAAATTACTCGGGGGGAAAAAAACTCTGGTTCCATTGACTTACATTAAAAGTAAAGTAGGTTTTTTCCTTCTCCTGAAAAGTTACCATTTTGGAGATACAAGGTTTAGGTTTAGGTTTTAGGTTTACTTCTGACAACAATATAAAAATGATATATATATATATATATATTTATATATAATTTTATTTGAACTTACTCTTGAATTTGTGCAGGTCACTGAATAATATAGTGTTCCACCAGACTGAAATAGAAAAAACACATATCAGAATGATTGTAAAATAAACTAATTCAGTCATTTTAAACCATTTATTCACACTTGTGTATTCCTAGCACATAAACACAGATGTACTAAAGGAGAGAATGACTCCCACAGTTTGGGAAGGAATGCAGTGCAGACCTCCTTCAGAACTCCATCAGCATCCAGAGGTTTAGTGGTTCGCACAGTTGCGGTTGTGTCTCCAGGTGAATGGATAAGCTCCAGGAAAGTCACACCACTTTCAAATATATATGCCTCCAGCCTCAACTCATCAGATGGGCTGATATTGGTGATGATCTCTACGTCTCCTGGTCAAACAGCAATGATATTACATGGTGAATGTGAGATACTGGACTTTCTACTGGGTTAATAATGATCTCACTAAACATGCATCAAAATACTGTCCATGTTCATAGATGAGTTCACTTTCAGTTCACTCTTTTACTTAAGATGTAGTTAAGACGTCTTAAAATGTATTCAAATAAAAAGATAAATTAATCAAAATAGATTTTAACACATTTAATTCATCATTCATATTATTACTGCTTGTGTAACAACCCCATTTCCAAAAAAGTTGGGATGCTGTGCAAAATGTAAATAAAAACTAAATGCAACGATGTGCAAGTCATTTAAACCCTATATTTCATTGAAAATAGTACAAAGACAACATATCAAATGTTAAAAGTGAAAAATGTTTACTGATTTTTTAAATATATTTGCCCATTTTGAATTGGTGCCAACAACACATTTCAAAAAAGTTGGGACGGGGCAACAAAAGGCTGGTAAAGTTGTGTAATGCTAAAAAAACACCTGATGGTTAATTGGCACCAGGTCATTAACAAGACTCAAAAGATGAGGAGGGGTTCATCACTTTGTGACAGACAGCATGATCAAATAGTGCAGCAATTCAAGAATAATGTTTCTCAGCGTAAAATAGCAAAGAACGGATTTTTATCATCTACGGTACATTATAACATTAAAAGATTTTAGAGAATCTGGAGAAATCTCTGTATGCAATGGACAAGGCCAAAAACCAGTATTTGCTGGTCATGAACTTCGGGCCCCCAGGCGGCACTGCATTTAAAAACAGACACGATTCTGCAGTGGAAATCACTGCATGGACTGCATGGAAACACTTCTGAAAACCACTGTCTGTGAAAACAGTTTTTCGCTACATCCACAAATGCAAGTTAAAACTCTAAAACACAAAGAAGAAACCGTATATAAACAGGATCCAGGAACGCTTCCACCTTCTCTGGGCCTGAGCTCATTTAAAATGGATTGAGGTGAAGTGAAAAAGTGTCCTGTGGTCTGACGAATCAACATTTCAAATTCTTTTTGGAAATAATGGACACTGCATCCTCTGGGCTAAAGGCCTCCCAGCTTGTTATTAGCACAGTTTAAAAGTCAGCATACATGATGGTATGGTTTAGAATCAGTACACATGGCATGGGTGACTTGCACATCTGTGAAGGCACCATTAATGCTGAATGAAATGTACAGGTTTCGGCAACATATACTGCCATCCAGACAAAGTCGTTTTCAGGGAAGGCCTTGCTTGTTTCAGCAAGACAATGCCAAACTACATTCTGTGTGTAGCATGGCTCCGCAGTAAAAGAGTCTGGGTGCTAAACTGACCTGCCTGCAGCCCAGACCTGTCACCACTGAAAACATTTGGTTCATTATGAACAAAAAATACAATAAAGCAGACCTCAAACTGTTGAACAGCTGAAATCCTATATTAAGCAAGAATGGAAAAACATTTCACTTTCAAAACTACAGCAGTGTCTCCTCAAGTTCTCAAATGCTTACAGAGTGCTGTTAAAAGAAGAGGTGATGAAACACAGTGGTAAACAGGCCCCCGTTCCAACTTTTTTGGAACATGTTTCTGGCATCAAATTCAAAATGGGCATATATTTTTCAAAAACAATACAATTTTTCAGTTTCAACATTTGATATGTTGTCTTTGTACTATTTTCAATTAAATATATTGCACAGCATCCAAACTTTTTGGGAAACGGGGTTATAAAAAACACAATGAATAAATAATATTATTTATTTATCACAATTTTTAAAGGTTCTGTTATTTTTCTGTGCACTTCTGAGCACTATATTAAGATATTCTATAATATACAAAGTATCCAGTACATCCTAACTGGATTATTTATAACTGGAATGTTTATAAATCTTTTTCATTGAGCTTGTGCTGGTAGCATTCTGTTAAACATTGATGTTGTAGGTATTAGCAGTACAGTCATATTTACCTTCATATTCCTCTTCAACAGAGCCTAAATTATATGTAAGTCCAACTTCACAGTTTATCTGTGAGGTACCTGGAGGAGGCAGACAGCAAACACTTGGAATTTGACAAAGAATATCACCAGTTTTAGTACTATCACCTACTAAATACATGGTTAAGAAAAAACGGCTGGTTTTACTGCTCTCACCTGCTGAATATGCACCAATCAGACATAACATTAAAACCCCCTACTTGTACCTACAGTCACTGTCCATTTTATCAGCTCTACTTACCATTCCCTTTGTAGTTCTACAGTTACAGACTGTAGTCCATCTGATTCTCTGCATACTCTGTTAGACCCCTTTTACCCTGTTCTTCAATGGTCAGGACCCCCATGGACCCTCACAGAGCAGGTATTATTTGAGTGGGGCATCATTCTCAGCACTGCAGTAACACTGACGTGGTGGTGGTGTGTTAGTGTGTGCTGTGCTGGTACAAGTGGATCAGACACAGCAGTGCTGCTGGAGTTTTTAAACACCTCAGTGTCACTGCTTCTATTATTCCTGTTATCACCTGCTAATTGTTTTGTAAAGAATATTCTAGATTTAATATCATCTACTGAATTTTAGTAAAGAATATTCACAGTATTACCTTTCTTACCTAATGAATTTTAGTAAAGAATAGTAATATTTTTACTTTTATTAGCTACTAAATTTTAGGAAAGAATATCACCAGTTTTACTGTTATTGACTACTGAATTTTAGTAAAGAATATTACCAGTTTTACTGTTATGAACTACTGAATTTTAGTGAAGAATATCACCAGTTTTACTGTTATCAACTACTGAATTTTAGTAAAGAATATAACCAGTTTTACTGTTATTAACTACTACATTTCAGTAAAGACTATTACCAGTTTTACTGTTCTGAACTACTGAATTTTAGTAAAGAATATCACCAGTTTTACTTTTATTAGCTACTAAATTTTAGTAAAGAATATCACCAGTTTTACTGTTATTAACCACTGAATTTTAGTAAAGAATATCATTGGTCTTACTGTTATTAACTACTAAAGTTTAGTAAAGACTATTACCAGTTTTACTGTTATTAACTACTGAATTTTAGTAAAGAATATCACCAGTTTTACTGTTATTAACTACTGAATTTAGTAAAGAATATTACCAGTTTTACTTTTATTAACTGCAGAATTTTAGGAAAGAATATTATCAGTTTTACCTACTAAATTTTAGTGAAGCATATAACCAGTTTTACTGTTATTAACTACTGAATTTTAGTAAAGAGTATCACCAGTTTTACCCCTACTATCTACTAAATCTTAGTAAAGAATATTACAGGGTTTATTACTATCACCTGCTAATTTTTGCTAAAGATACTACCACTACTGAATTTTAGTAAAGGATATTCCCAGTTTTACTTTTATTAATGACTAAATTTTAGGAAAGAATATTACTGGTTTTACTTGTATTACCTACTGAATTTTAGTAAAGAACATCATCAGTCTTACTGTTATTAACTACTGAATTTTAGGAAGGAACATCATCAGTTTTGCTGTTATTAACTACTGAATTTTAGAAGTAATGTCACCAGTTTTGCTGTTATTAACTACTGATTTTTAGTAAAAAAATATTACCAGTTTTATCACTGTTGTCTACTAAATCTTAGTAAAGAATATTACAGTGTTTATTATTATCATGCTGATTTTTTGCTAAAGATATTACCAGTTTTGCTGTTATCACATTTTGTAGTTTTTTGTGACCTATGTTACTAATGTTACTAATTTTTTGGTAAATAATACTGTTTACTGTTAACACCTCTTGAATTTGACGCCGATCTGTTATGAAATGTTATGAGTTTTACTGCAATTTTTACTGCAATCTCCTGCTGAATCATATGATCTACAATATCATTCTCTTGGCAGCGAGTCATACAATATACAAGCAGTTGGATGGGTTTATGGAAATTGCATTTCTTATGAAATGGAAACTTAAGACATCGATTCACAGGTGCTGTTGAATCAGTACTGTATGCCATGTTGCCATGCCATGTTGTTTAGCAATGTTCATTAAATGAAATGCCCTAAGATGTTTATAAGAAAGAGTATTTAACCAAGTTAAATCAACAAAGTTACAGACTTTGTTTTTTTTTACTGCACTTAAGGAGAACAGGTGTCTGATAGTGTTTTCCAACAGTTAAATGTGCTTTCTAATGGTGTTATGTAGGCTTTAACCGCAAAACACCTCAGTCAAATTTACACTTGTAATGTAATTAAATTAAACTATATTCATTGCTATAGCAGGTAGTTTAACTAGCATGACATTTTTGCATGTGTACTTAGTAGGGCTGCAAAAAATGTACTCTATTGGTTTACGGACCTTTCTGTGGGTATTTTAATGAATGAAGTTATTCATATCATCCTATAAATGTAAATCACTCTAGTAAAAAAAATTGTTAACCATATTAAGCCAAGGGCTCTCCAGTGAGTTTCAATCCTTAGTCTGAATTTTTAGCGAGATGTAATGTGATATTATTTCTCACTCATGCAGATTCTAAATTCTAAACTTTCACTCTATACCACCTTTGTGTTTGTAGGCAGAGGTAAAGATATTTAATTATGATTTGAATTTGAAGAAAAGTACAGTCCTGTTTTGTGGAAAGAAAAAAATTCTTTACATTTTTCCACATTTTTGTCATTGCTAGCCATTGAAAAGTTGCAGATACAGAATGTAACTCACTTTCTATGTATTGAAATATGTAATTACATAGTTGCATTTGAAATGTATAGCAGACTGAAAGTCATAACTTCCTACTTATAATGGTTACAATAGAAGGAAATATGTCATTATATAATTACTTTTGAATAGTTTAGCAAAATGAAAGTAATAACTCTCAACTTATAATCAGTAATACAATAGCTGTAGCACAGTTGCAGTGTTTAGCATCATAATGACAATATGGAGCTTTGTCTATACCATGCAGGCCGAGTACTTACCAATAGCACCCCACACATCATGAACACACAAGCAGGCCAAAATGAAGAAGGAACTGATTAAGCTCATATTGTCCATATTGTAGAGTAGATCCACCAGGCCTCCTCTCACCCACCACTTCCTCTCTGTCAATCTCACCTATGCTGAGATCAGGTAAAAGCACAGGGAGGGGACTTATCCACCCTTTTCTCTCTCTATCCCACCCTCTCTCCTCGCTCTCGGACTGCTGTAAACTGTAATGATTGTTATGGAGGTGTAAAACATGGTTCAAAGGTTGCTGATAAACCTCAGCCTCTATCAGAACGTTACTGGAACAAGCGTTTATTCTTACAATTGACTACATATGAAATTGTGGACACAGTGTTAGAGCAGAATCTACATGTAAATTTTACAATCTGACAATGTATGTGTATTTACATGGTTTATTACAGTATTTTAACAATCATTAAGATATTAATAATAAAAATATGTTGAAAATATAGTGTTAATGTTACTCTCAATGAACCTCATCACTGTCCTATCGACAGCCATTTATGATGTTGCCCAGGCCGACATGTGCAATTGTTTTCATCTGTGGTACGAGACAAGATAAAAACCTCATTAACCTATTCGTCATGCCACGCTAAAGAACCTCGATGTTAGACTTTAATCCACCATTAAGCAGGGATAGTGAGGTATATGGATTCAGTGAGCAATTGACGGCTGAACTGGGTAATAAGAGTCCAAATGTAACATCCGATGACTAACAGCACGTTCAGTGACTTCCGTGTGGGTCGTGCCGCAAGTAGCACTTTATGTAATGAGACAATGTTTATGTCTTAGATATGGAAGTGTATGTGTGATCTATATGACATTGCATTGGTTTAAGTTATACTAATATGCATATGTTAACTGGTATTCATTGTGAACATATGAACAGTAGCATGTTGGTGTCCTTGATATGTATGCATAAAAATGAAGGAATGATGACGGCAATCTGAAAAACACAGGGTAGGAAAACAATGAACAGAGAGAATCAGTAGCAATGCTAAAGAGATACATTTTTGTTTATTGCTTTATATTTATGCAGTGCTCCCAAATAATATTTTAACATTTTAACCAGTTAGTCATTGGAAAAAATGAAAAAAGGTTTTTAAGCTAAAAAAAAATATGTATTTGTTACAGAGGAAAATCACTGTCATCGCAGCATCAAGCTGATTGGTAGAGTCTTTGTGTGGAGAAAGCCTGGAGAAAAACTAGACTGCGCTAAAAGTGCTGTAAATTACAGGAGGTGGAAACATGTCAAAGTCTGCTTGTATTCATTAATGGAATCACTGATGTGATCATCACAACCTTGACAAATTCATCAATCAAAGGTATGTTCTGAAAAATCCATGGATATTATAAAAGTTATTATACATAAAACTTTGACACTTTTAACATTTATAGCAAATAAAAAAAATAGAAAGAAAGACCCCTTTAATGATTCATATACCATATTTTTGCCAATTTTGTCAAAATGACAACAATCAATTAAATAATAAATCATAAGCAATACAGAAACAATAACAATAATAATAATAATAATAATAAGAAGAAGAAGAAGAAGAAGAAGAAGATGAAGAAGAAGAAGAAGAAGAATAGTTAAGTTATTATTTATAGAGCACTTTTCATATCTGTAGCAGCTCAAAGTGCTTTACAGAGAGGTGATAAAGCTTAACCATAACAAAAGCCACTGGTTGGCCGCTTGTAGCTCAGGGTAACACTCTGATCTTGTCACTGCAGCAACTGCAAAGATTCCTGTGAATTTAGCAGTGTTTGTTATTTTTCAGCTTACATTACAGATCTGACAATGAAATATCTATAACCTCTTAAAGTGCTCTATAAGTCAACTGCAAAGTCTACCTATAACTGGAAAATCCCTCTATGCCCTTTGTCTAATGTATGTTTGTGTGAGTGTCTGCTAGTATGGGTGTTTGATTCTGTGGTAGAACTTGTTACTGTAAAAGTGTGGTAGAACTCATGTATGGATGTCTGTATTACTGTATAAGTGTGGTAGAACTCAGGTATGGATGTCTGTGTTACTGTATAAGTGTGGTAGAACTCATGTATGGATGTCTGTGTTACTGTATAAGTGTGGTAGAACTCAGGTATGGATGTCTGTGTTACTGTATAAGTGTGGTAGAACTCATGTATGGATGTCTGTGATACTGTATAAGTGTGGTAGAACTCATGTATGGATGTCTATGTTACTGTGTAAGTGTGGTAGAACTCATGTATGGATGTCTATGTTACTGTATAAGTGTGGTAGAACTCATGTATGGATGTTTATTGTCATTTACAGTGTAACTGTGAGATGCTGTGTAATACCTTATATATGGAATAACATACTTGGCCAATGAAGCCTTAGTCTGATTCGGATATTATTGTTACACTTACCATGCTGCACATAACAGGAGGGGTGACGCAGGGACGGTAAGAAAAACAAGAAACCTGATGCTACTTGAGGTATTTTGCTGATTCTCAACTAAGACAATTTCCACAGTAATTCCAAGTGACTCCTGCATCCCCAACATCAGATCTCCCTTCATTATTTTCAGTTTCCTGTGGAGGTCATAAAAACATATGCAGCTTTACTCAGAATTCATGTTGACCCTTAGAAGTAAAAAAAATGTGTATACTAATACAGCTTTCATATAGGGCTTAGCATCTTTTACCCCCCCAACTGGTGTTTTGTATGATGCATGTCGTCATATTTGGCATAAAAAATCCTGTTAAACAGGATGAGACATCCTCAGAATTAATGGCCAACAACTCCTTCATTTCAGAATCATATAAAACACAGACTCTTGCTGTCCTAAGCATGTCATGTGTGTGCACACTATTATGTTTACCAGCACTTCAACACAGTCCCCCATAACAAAACTCTTGCATTGACCAACAGTACAATACACGCGTATTCTGCATTCTTCCATGCTGGATTAGCATGTTAAGCAATAGAATATAAGAGGGAGTAGATCATCGTTGTAGATCCCTTACAGCTGTGGTGTTGTTTGTGATAAAACCTAAGTGTTCTGTTGCTTTCATACAATAATTCTGCACAATAAACTTAAAAAGAAAAGTGAAATCACATTAGATCACTTGTAGTAAAGAGAGTGGCTTCCCTTAACTGGGATTTGTAGTAGGTTTAAAGGATGCCACTCTCTTTACTACAAGTGATCTAATGTGATTTCACCTTCTTTAACTTTAAGTACATGGGAAACACCTGCACAGCCCCTTAATGACTAAAATGCCGGCGATCTGCATTTCTGAACCATTATGTTCAGTGAAATTTAAAAACAGACATTTTGGAGATATGTTTGATTGTAGCTTGTTCTGTCTGCTCAGGAATGAGAATATGTAGGTTTAAACATGTTTGGATGTTTATTTTATGAGAAGAAAATGAGAAGAAAATGTTCCAATATAAAAAATGTCCAATACAAAACTAACTTTACTCCACTGTCACCGATATCTTGCAATCTCAGCTCCAGCTCAGTTTTTCAATTCGTTAGTACTTGCCAGATTAACCTGAACATTATCTTTTAGAATCAGAATCACTTCATTTCTCCAAGTATGATACATATGCAAAGAATTTGTCTTGGTGAGTGCATATATGGTATGACATGTAACCTACTAAACAGACCAGACAAGCACACAGACTGGTAAAAAATAGTTCTCTAAAGGACAAATAGGGTCGCAACATGTAGCAGTATGCAGTATACAGTACACAGTGTGCTATTTTGAACACAGCCTATGTCTTCAAGTTTTTTTCCTGTTCAGTTTTTGGATATACACTCCTACTACCATATGTAGAACCTGGGGACAGAATGGGAGTTTGGGTGGATCTCAACACTTACATTTTGACTTTCTCAGCATCAATAACCGAGCCTGAGGGACTTAAGGCCACAAAACTGATGTAGGTTTTGCCAGCAGTTCTTGTCCTGTGAATAAGGTAATAGTATGTCAGTGATTATGTTAAAAGCATACGATGTACCCTTGTCTAAATAAATGCATCCTTAGTTTGACCAAATGAGATTTGATTGGACTTTTCCTGTGTAAAGAGCATGTCAACACATACGTCGTTTCTGTTTTACTTTTGTTTACTCTTTTTCCCCATTTCTTTAAGTAATAAGCTCTGCCTGCACACTTTCATTGGTCTCTTGGTTTGGGGCTAATTTCAGCCTCACACTGATTGGCTCCATCCTTTGTTTTGTTGTTTATTCTCTCACCTGCTAGTCAGTGCTTGACAGATGCATTTCCACTCATGTAATTGTATACAGATAATGAAAACACATTTCGTTCACACTTGTCTTAAATGTGGTCAGGATCCGTCTATGGCCGACCTCTGAATGTGGTGTGAGCGATCCAATCGTAATCCGCTCACAATGTGTCCTGGGATGTTTACACTTGGCTTTTCACGTGGTCGAGTAAAATCTGAGCGTGTTCCAGTCACAAAAAAGGCATGTTAATGCAAGGTGTAAAAGCTCACAGCTCATAGTAAAACTATTATCAGACTCTAAGGCAGTCACCAGCCCTGGTCATGGAGATCTACCTTTCTACAGAGTCTAGTTCCAACCACAATTGACCACACCTGCTCCAGCTAATTAACCTTTTGATTGGTTGGATCAGATGCATTAGCGTTAGATAAGTTGGAGCAATTAGATGCCAATTGGTTGGTAGACGTTGATGACCACTGCTCTAAGTTAAGCTAAACTTTATCTTCATAACTGTATTTGCTGTCACTCATTTTAATGTCTAATGATAAATAATGTTACAAAACGACAATGTTAAGATGACTTTTCTTAGCTTCAGTGTTGGCTTCAGCATTAACTGATCCAAAAAGGCAACTTCAGTCACTCAGGCCTCTTCTATACTAGACATTAAAACTTGTCCTTGGTTTAATATACATACACATAGTTCCCAGAATCCCTTTAGAATCCCTTTTAATTTCTTAAAATTGCCCTACATTTACTTTACTTTTTTGTAAAGCTTGTATAACCCAGCCACGACTGACGATAAAGAATGCAAAATGAAAACAATCATTCATGATTCAACATCAACACAATTGTTTCATTAACTGTACCGCATTTGCTACCAGTAGACGCATTGCATTTGTGGGTAGATCATTTGGTTTTAAGTAGTGTCTTACTTAATAGAGCTGGAGGATTTTAGTGAGCTGTCACTCCAAATACTGATGATGATTACATTCCACCCCAAAGTGGCAACCAGACACCTAAAAAACATGTAAATATAAACCTTTTGGTCAAAACACACAAAAAAGGTCTTATTCATTTGTTAATGTACAGTTCCCCTTATCACACATTCAAGTAGCTAAAATTCAGAATGTAGTAGAACATATTTACTTTTTAATGTCCGGAATGCTTTTATTCACAGTGTCGATTGGCAGGTTAAGCAAGATGACCACAGTGTCATTGCTGCCATGTTCAGAGTTAGCCATCTGAAAGCAAAAAAATAAATAAATAAAATAAATAAAAAAACACTTTTCCAATCAAGAGCAATTTAGACATGAACTAAAACAGACATTAACCCCTTAACAAGCCAAAGTTTTATTGCACACTTCTATAACCTAAGAATAGATCCATAGGTTTACACTGCAGTCCCTTTAGTTTCTGAATAATAAACCTAGATTGTTAAGGGGTTAAAGGTTTTGGAGGCTATAGAAAGTGGAGGAGTATCAATCCACAATTACTGATAGATTGATACTCTGCTTAGGGCTAGGTATCATTCAGAATTTTTATACCAATACTGATACCTTCAAATAAGTTAAATACAAACAAGCAAACATACACACATCATCTAAACCGCTTATCCTTCTGGGTTGCGGTGGGGTGTTGGAGCCTATACTAGCTGTCATTGGGCGGAAGGCAGGATACACCCTGGACAGGTCACCAGTCCATCACAGGGCAGACAGACATATACATTCACACCTAGGGGCAATGTAGCATGTCCAATTAGCCTGACTGCATGTCTTTGGACTGTGGGAGGAAACCAACACAGACACGAGGAGAACATACAGACTCCACGCAGAAATGACTCTGGTTGCCCGGCCGGGAATCGAACCCAGGCCATTCTTGCTGTGAGGCGACAGCACTACCCACTGCGCCGCCCACAACAAACAGACAATCACAGACAGTTTTAAAAGGCACTTTTGGCGCTATATAGAACCCATTTTAAAAGGCACTTTTGGCGCTATATAGAACCCATTTTAAAAGGCACTTTTGGTGCTATATTGAACCCTTCTACAGCACATGAAATTTAGCACTGAATGACACCAAACATTTTGATACTCTGTAGTACTAAAGTAATTTGGCCGGTACTGTACCCAGCCCTAACTCCACCTACCTGTGTCGTCCTCATTGTGGAAGGCAGGTGAGTTGGTGTGCTGCCTTGTGCCTGTGTGGTTGATTTTTCTCTGTTCAGGTCCACAGATTTAACATGGGCATCATCACCTGGATCACAAACATTCATTACAGTGTTTTGAAGGTCAATAAGCAGCAGTCTTCTCAGCATAAGCAGTATTTCTTCTGACAAGTGTATATCTATGCTTCCCAACCCAATTCTTAAAGAAGAATTCCACTGATTTTTTCAAAATTACATGGCTAAAGTCATTCAGAGTGGTTTGACGTGAAATGCTTCAATCTAGAGAAACTTAATCAGAATTGTTCACAATGGTGGTGATAGGAACCAAACGTCTGAGGAGTTGCAAATGTATCACACAAAGTGGTTCTGAAAGTGTTGCCTGATGCCTGAGACACTGTTTTATGAAGGTTCTGAGATGTAAATTTTATTTTTAATTCTTTTTTTTTAATCATAATAGAGTTATTCCAGAGAGGGTGTTGCAATGCAAGACAGTACTGAGTAAACTTTTGAACATTTTTTTGATTACGATTATTTTACCATTATCAACATTACTTATGAAAACGAGTGACCCCTGGTTCCTATCACCACCACTGTACAGAAATCTGACTCAGTTTCTCTACAATGAACCATTTCACATTAGACCACTCTGAGTTAGTCAAGGGGTAAAATGGGTGGGAGTCATAATTGAAATTCCCCCACATTTTTGTTAATTTCAGTTTCATAACACTAGTAAGAAGCCCTTGATTATCTGAAACATCGTGCCGGAGTTCTTAGCTGAGGACTACTACCCAACTCTGTCAGCACAACACAGACTGCCATACAATCTGCTATTTAATTCTCAATAAACAATGTGCTTGAGTAATTTCCTCTATTATGCTTTTACTTGTGCTCAAGTAAATTTACAGACCCTCGCTGGTGACATGTTGTATAAATAAAAACAATACATGGCCATGACTTAGTAAAGCATGGGAACAAGATAATTATATCACGGCCATGACTAAGTAAGGCATGGGAACGAGATCCAAATGCATGGCAATGACTTAGTAAAGCAATAATCTCATTCCCACGCCTTACTAAGTCATGGCCACGACTTAATTATCTCATTCCCATGCCTTACTAAGTCGTGGCCACACATTAAGATCTTCTTCCATGTGTTAATAAGGTTGTCACCAGCAGAGTCCCATATATATTAGCTCTACAGCAACAGTATCTTTCCTTACTTCAGCTAATGCAATAGAAGTACTAATATAAGAAAATATGGACTATATTTCATCTGATAGAATAACTTGTACTTGCTTTATCATCCTTTCCTTGCTTTATCACAACTATCAGGGAATTTGTAAATATAAACACAGTGTTTGTTACATTCTGAGAAATTAGACTAGACTATACTGGAGTTTTTAAAAAGTCATTTAATGACATTATTTTTTTTTTAACTTGGTGATTAAGATCTAAAAAGCAAGTAGTTTAAACCAGTGCAACTCATTAAGATGTTAGATGCAGATACCCTTCACCTACCTACAGGAGCGCTCCACATTGCGTTGACCCACAATGTGCACAAAAAGAGGGAAAAAAGACAATGTGACATGTTCATCATTAGAAGGCAAGGAGTCCAGGTGTTTTCACTCTTCAAAGAATAAAACACTATGCCGATCTTGATATGTGTGTTCTGTTAGTCACACGTTTCTTCCTCCTGCCCTTATTCTTACCTGTGAATGAAAACATGGGGGCCACATTTCATCGTATCATTCCATCTCGTCATGTATGTAGGGCAAGATGTTACTTTCAGATTCACTCCATTTGTAACTTATATGTGACTTTGTAACTGTGGCAATTTGGTGGGGAAAAAAAACTATTTTTACCCCAAAAATGACTTTTTTTTTTCATTTTAATTTCAGACCACTCCACTGAAAAATTACGTACATTCTTAGAAAACAAGGACAGTGTCAATGATGAAAAGCACCACTCTTAAGAAGCACTCAAAGCTACTCAAATATTTTTTGTTTGTTCAGGCCAGTTTTGGAGATCAGCTGAGGGCAATTTTTAATAGTGTAACTTGACTCTTTAGGTAACTTAAATTTGTTCTTGGTTAATAGGTAAAATGGCATCAGTACCGCACCTTAAAACAGTTTCATTCAGCCATGATATGAGCCACGTTTTGTAAGTGTTTTCAGCCAGGTAATAAGTGCTGATTATCTTTCATTTCTACATAGCTGCATACAGGTTTGAGCTGTTTTGTTGTTGAGTGGAGCCGCCCTGCCCTTTTTGGTCATCTGTACACATCTGTACACGTATGTTCTCCATCTCTTGCCTGTAACAAACTGAGCCTGAATTTAAAACAGGCAGATTTTGAAGAGTAGTTTCCATATATGGAATATGTATATACTTACATGATATATTAATCTCTGTAATTTAAACAATGTGAGATTTCCCTTTAACAATGCAGATTTGTGAGAAATACTTTCTCTTTCTCTCTTTCTATAATATATATATATATATTATATTATATATATATATATATATTATAACACATATATACATATACACATACATACACATACATACACACACACACACACACACACATATATATATATATACATATATGCACACACGTGTGTGTGTGTGTGGTGGGGTCTATATATATATAATATATATATAATATATATATATATATTATATTTGAGCTGATCATGAAGTAATAGCCCCAGTGATAACAACAGAAGAGTTCTGTCTATCTTTATTTGTTTATGCTGATCTTCCTCATTCCCTTAAGGTTTCTTGTAAATGATCTAATCTGTGAATTTACCATGTATGTAAAGCAGAATGCAGCTTTCACATTCACTTTCTAATCTAATTTACTTCATCAAAACAGAGAAAAAAATCCAAAACTGCAACACCTTTCGTACATTACTACAGTGAAACTTTAACAAGTGAAAAATACGAACGCACTAAATGCTCATAAGACGCATTCCATTAATCAGGTTTTTTGCTAACTTGCTGATGTTTTATCTGGCTTATAATGCCAACTTACTTTTAGCTTCATGTTTTCATCAAGATTAGTGGACGGAATTAAAACATCTGTTTTTCTTATGTTGCATACAGTTTATTTACTTAAAATAGTTAAAATAGTGTTTACATGTAACACTTAACTCTGCAGCCTGTTAATGCGTATTCTATCAGAGCCAGAGTGAATAGATACAATGAAGCATAACAGTCACACATATCTGTAGCGTATGATGGCAAAAGCTGCAGTTTGTTCTTTTGTGTGCAAACTCTACAAGGTGCTTAGTGAAACATTGTGTTTCCTTAGACACACTCGATGAAAGCCTGGGCTTCCAGCTTCCAAATAATTCAACAGTGTACTTGTAATTATTTTCTAATTTTTATTATTTGCATTTTTATTTTTAGGAACTAACCCTTAGAAACCTCGAGTTATTTAATTTTTAATTATGGCGATTTTATTATATAAATATGTATGTGTAATTATTCTAAAATCACATTTACACTCAATTCATTATTCAGATTCCAGTGTACACTTGAACAACTATGAAGTTTAAATCATAAACAAATTCTTCTGCTTTCACAACATGGCATGGATTAAAAAATCAATCAGTTTTTGTTTTCTCATTCATTTGGATACACTGTCCAAATAAGATCTTCCCAGAGTAAACTTTAAAAATAGTCTATAAAAATAACATTTCAAGCTTCTATAAATCTTTCAGATGCCAAGTTTTTTTGACGCCTGTAAAAAGGTTCCACGAGTTGCTTTAGAGAATTTTAAATCTTCTCCTGCAAGACATAAAACAGTCTGATGTAAATTCACCATTTTCACAATTTGAAGCTGTTTACAACATGGAAACTTTATTCAGCATTTGAGGAGTTTGAAATGGCTGCTTTACTTACATCATCACACACCCGACAAATGCTACTGAAACGACAACACTAGCATTTTGAGGTGGAGGCTCCTCCTCTATCAGTATTATCTCCACATGCAGGCTGATAAATGTCTTCAGCCTTGCTGATAAACTCCCTTCCATTTTCCTCAGCTTCCTGTAGAAGGTACATTAAACAGCACACAGTACCTTTACATCTTCAGCTAGTAAAGCAACGCTAAGTCCCAAAGTGTACACAGTTTACTGCTTATCTTAAATGTAGTCAAACAGCCAAGACATGTTTTTGTCTGAAGTTAGTTTCATTAGCTTTGTGCTGCAGCTAAGAAGCTAATGTAGCTAACAAGTAATGGAGCTTGTAACACATACTTGCCACAAGCCATGTTGTGTTCACACATAAATCACACATAAAGTGGTTTCTGTCCCTGTATGACATACTATATTTATAAAAATAGACAAAAACACAGACAAAATTCAGGTTTCAAGATGGCTGCTACCATTTTAGCAATGCTAAACAGCTTTATCGCTTTTTATACACACTGATCAGGCATAACATTATGAGTACCTCCTTATTTTTACGCTCATTGTCCATTTTATCAGCTCCACTTACTATATAGGTGCACTTTGTAGTTCTACAGTTACAGACTGTAGTCCATCTGTTTCTCTGCATACATTCTTCATCATTCTCAGCACTGCAGTAACACTTATGTGGTGGTGGTGTGTTAGTGTGTGTTGTGCTGGTACGAGTGGATCAGACACAGCAGTGCTGCTGGAGTTTTTAAACACTGTGTCCACTCACTGTCCACTCTATCAGACACTCCTACCTTGTCAGTCCACCTTGTAGATGTCAAGTCAGAGAAATGTGCAGAGAAACAGATGGACTACAGTCTGTAACTGTAGAACTACAAAGTGCACCTATATAGTAAGTGGAGCTGATAAAATGGACAATGAGTGTAGAAACAAGGTCATAATGTTATGCCTGATCGTATAACAGTATGTTGTACAGTGTCAGACACTGCATAATCAAGTCTGTTGGAGTTTATTTAACAGCACAACACAGCTTGAGACAAGTGTGTGATGATCTAGGCATGCTGTTAAGTTGGATGCTAACAGGTGGCAGTAAATTTTCATTGCTTGTTAGCTACATTAGCCTTGTAGCTCCAAGGCAAAACTAAGGCTGCCGATGGACTACATTTGGGGTAAGGAAGCAAATGTGTTTGTTTCATATTTTAACTTAAAAAGAAAACTGTCACTCAGATGCACCGTACATTCTGATACATGGTATAAACACAGGAATCATCATTCAGTTGAACAAGTCAGTGGACATATCTCACCATTTCACTTCAGCAGCAGCAATCGCAGTGCCTTTGGTATTATAAGATGCAAACCTGTATGTCTTTGCGTCACCTTTCCTGTGGATGAAAGTTGAATGAATATGTAAAACAGCTGTTTAAAATGACAGTAAACTTTTCATTTAATGAGTTTCCAATATTATAATTCTTACGTTTGAACTGTGGTATTTGTATCTGTGGCATTGTAGCTGAAGTTTGCTGCAGTCTCTTTATTTAATGTCTCGTTCCAAATATCGATAATAATTGTAGTCCATCCCAGAACATTACTCAGAGACCTGACAGAGAGATTGGCACAAACCAGTAGTGGTCACATACTATTCTAGGGAGTGGTTTAAAAAAAAAAGGTTAATGACATTGCATTCCCTCGCGAATGTTTTGCATTCCCTCACAAATAATGCGGTCTTCGATCTCAGTGTTAGTTTGAGTCACTAATAGCAGAATCATGTTTGATTTTGAGAAGCGACACGATGTCTTTCTATTACAATCCAAGATCAATGTAAAATTCAATGAGCTGCTCCGTGTCTGAGCTTAAGCAAAGCACAGCTTTTGCAAGCGAATGCAAACCGTTTGCATCATAATGCAAAACATTTGCGAAGGAACGCAAATTTTTTTGCAAGGGAATGCAATGTCATTTTTTTTTAAACCACGGCCCCTCAGGGGCTCTGTACTATTCTAATGTCAGAAAGAGACAGAAATTAGTTTACGTTTGAATTTCAGGTTTGATTTTCTCCACAGTGCTGATTGGTTGGTTGAGTGAGATGACTGCAGTGTCGCTGGAAGAAGGTTTTTGAACTGGGGCCTGGAGGCATCACACACAAACATGCACCTCTCTAAGATCACCTAATAAACTGTAAATATGGTGCTATTTCACATGAACAGTGTGTTTATCTCCGCTGTTCTAAACGCCTCTTACCCAGGTGCTGGTAGCTGTAGAAGGCTGTCCGGTTATGTCAGTGCTGTTCAGCTCCACGATTATTGTTTTGCTGTCCAGACCTACGGATACGACAGACATCAGACAGTACAGATCACATAACTTTCATTTTCAGTTTGGTGCATGAGCTGTTTGTCTGCACTCATTCAGCCAGATTTTCCTGCGTCACCAGGGCAACAAGAACCAGGGGACCGTTACTGGTTGATCCCATTTGGAACCATTTTCCTACCACATGTAAGAGCATTCTATTGATACCACAGGTTTGTTTGAAAGGTGCTAAGGATGTAACGTGTATAAACAGCTTCACGCTGATAACGCTGTTGTAAATAAAGAGACTTACACATTATTTTTACACATTATACACAAAATTTATGTTTGTCAATATAATATCTTTGGTTGTAACATATCTAGCTATCAAAATGCGTTTGTCAACTGAATATATAAGGTAATTAATCTTGTTTCCAAGAATCTTGTTTAAAAATAGTTTTGCGCACCAAAGTCAGTTGTAATTAAGTTGTCCTATCTCTTATAAGGACATAAGGAGCTGTTTTTTTCCCTTAATATGGATATATGGACAGCATGGCCTGGAAAAAGATATATATATATATATATGTATATATATATACATATAAACACACAGTAATTAAAAGTGCATTAAACAGTTATTGTGCATTAGTGTGCAGAAGTGTGTTCTCTGTGGAGGATGTGTCACCACA